TCAAGCAGCAAAAAAACCCAAAAAAATTGTAATGAAGCAAATTAAATTTTACATGCAGCGTTTTCATTAGCAATAGGTTTGAACAACATTAATGAACAAGTGCCATATTGAACATTATTGAAGACATTACCAATCCACACTGGTAGTCACTGATTGGCTTCTATTTAGTGCAGTGGTTTCACATAACGATACAAATGTCATATATTTTCCAACATCGTTCTTAAACTTCACAAAAACAAACAACTCAAAGGCCACTTTTTGATGAACAAATGACATGAAAATTACTATGTACAAGGACAATTGTTGCTAGAGATATTGGGTCTTGCATTGATTTAGATCAGGGGACGACACGGAGACCTTCTTGTCAGGATTTTTGCAAAGAACCACTTAAAAAAAAATTGTACATCGTAGTTTACTATTAGTGTTCTTTTTAAATCTTTTGTATTTTTTTGGCAATTTGGTTCATAATTTTAAATATATTTCAGTTTATTTTTCAAATTTGATCTGTTTAAAAATTGCCTATCTGTGTCACTGAACTGTAAAATTTCACACATAATTAACCTTGCAAGGAAAAGTATCCTTACTTTTAAAGAAAAAGTAAATATACATTTTAAAAGTAACGCTTACAGCAGACAATTGTTAATCAGTACATGGAATTGAAAAGAAAACACGGTCTACAAGCTGGCCTGTAAATCTTTAAAAAAAACCTCAAGAATTAGTGGTAAAATAAACTATATGGTTTATTTACAGCATTGGAAAAATTCTTGCATTGTGACATATTCCCTTTCTGCTACTTAAATAGGCTTACACCTGATATACCTCCAAAACAAGAGTTGTTATTTTTGATAGGATCAGCGCGGACAAAAAAACAAATCATTACCTCATAATCAATATCCACACAATTTCAATGACATAAATATAAACAATAAACAACCAAAATGCAGGAACAAAATCAACAACCAATAGCTGATGTATAATATACAACGTACATAAAGGTTCCGTTGACCTTTTTCATTAAAACACGCACTAAAAAATTGTTAAAAACAAACCACCCAACAAACCCAAATATGAAAACAAAAACAATAAACACCTACCTCAAAACCCCTATCATACATGTACAGGGATTACATTACAAAGAGGAAAATCGAAATGCTACTTTGAAACTTTACTGGTAAATTGGTATTCTGTTACATTTACACATCTTACATTTATTTACCTTTCTCATCAAAATACTCCAGTCCCTAATTAGATTATCATACAATACATACTAAATCTATATTACCCCATACATGTACAACAAATTATTTCAGCCGCCACCTTATCAGGCATATCATAAGCTTTTGTTCAAAAAAATTAAATTTGTGAATAAATGTCTTTGTTCCTCCCTAAGGCAATTCTACAATTTCCTGTACATAAAAAGGTACAATAAACTATTGAGTTGATAAATATAATGCGATTAAGACCTGCTCAGCTTGTGCCTCGATCTAGCGACTCTTGATTATGCAAATAATTTTATTCAATTGCATTATGAAAGGTCACTGTCGGTATAAAAACCCACAACAGAAATCTGAAAAAGGTATTTTTTGGAGAAAAAGTGTTTTAAAAACCCAACAGCTTGGAACAAAATCAGCAAATTTGAGCAATACAAGGGCAATAACACAATATTCCTGATGAGCCTTCAGCCTTTCGTCACTATCTGATGAAGTGATGCAATTTCCCGTTCCCACCAAGTTTATCATATTTTTAGATACATCTGAACTGATGCAAAGTTTGTAATTGTTATTACTATAGTACACATGTTAATTTTTACAAGGTATATGTTTGTGATTATTTAATATTAATGTAAATTTCATACATTTAAGCCTTTGCTGGCAATACAATTGTTTAGAAAAAGCCCCCCCCCAAAAAAAAAATAAAAATATGCCGAGGCAAACTATGTGAACTTAAGATAACCTCACCAACCTCCCCTATTGGAGTGTTAACACATTTCAGCCCCTCCCCCAAATCCCACTCCTATGCTGGTATCATCATTAAAAAACAACAAACAAATTATACAAAACAAATCAAAACAAAGCTGAACAACTCCTGTTACAAATACAATTAATCACACATTGAGTGTACATCTTGAAATATCCACAGGCAATTCTATTATACATCAATGTCACTTATTAAAACATTTCATACTAGGAACTCCATTATATACCTAAAAAAATGCACTTCATGACTGTTTTATGATGTTAAAAAAATGTTTCCAACCTCAATTGAAGATGAAGCTCACTTTTTCTGTCTAGTACTGCTATATGTTTTTGTTTTAATGGAAACAAACAAATTAAGAGCTTGTTGTTATTGGACAATCTTGGGATATCTTTATTAAATACTATTATGGGGGTACTGGGGCAGGGCCGTCGCTAGAGGTGGGGGGGGGTGTGACACTCCCATTCAAAATTTTGGACAGCAAATCCACAATTGTTGTCGGCAAATGTGTAAAATTGAGGGCCTTTCTTAGATTCTTTTACTGTTGTCAGCAATATTTTGAAACCTGAGGACCTTTTTTTTTGCTTGTCAAATAGTTTGGCAAATGATACTTTTCACACCATAAATTTTTCTGTCATCAAATTTGTACATTTGAGGACCCCCTTTTTTTTTGGGGGGGGGAGGCTTGCCGGATGTTTGGTAGGCAAACTTATCGGCAAATTTGGTCCGAAATCCTCCCCCACCCCCCATTGAAAATGTTCTAGCGACGCCTGCACTGGGGTATTACAATAAGATGTGAATTTACTTTTTTTCTCAAATTTTTTTTTTCAGCAGATCAAAAATTAAATTGAAAATAAAAAAATTTATTCAGAAAATATTAAATAGCAATGAGAAACATTAATGAAACACAATGCATTTTCTTGGGGGGGATGGAACGACTGCACACTATTTTTAGTAAACTGTTAAGCATCTAACTTCACTGCAATCCAATCATATTGTCTTTCAAAAGATGTCACAATCACACCATCTGCATAAACAAACCAAGGAAATCAGTCAGCATTTAACAGTCCATATACACTCGGCTGCAAAGTGGTGTATGCTGGTTTTACATTTAGAGAATAGGCAAACATTTCTGAATTCATCCAATATAATTTCATTGTTGGAATTGGGGGACGGGGGTTGCATGTAGCAGTGGTGAAATGTTGACATTTTTAATTCTGAAAAAAAAAAAAAACACCGCCCCCCCAAAAAAAGAAATCCAACAGCAACTACGCAACAGCCGCTGACTGTGGCCAGATCTCACACATTTTAGATCTCACGCACCTGTTTTTGATCACAGTGATAAATGGTTCATTATAAAAATTGCACAAAAATGTTATGAGTTGGTGTTTCACTATGAACTTTAGCGGGAACAGTGGCCTACATCCTAGATATATTGTAGCAAGGACACGGATGTGTGGATGTGTGCAAGTACAGGCACATGCTTGTATAGCACAGAGTACGCACAAACAATTTTCATCTGAATGTTCATTCGTTTATACCTAAGACAGTTCACCCATTCCTATCGGTCGAGAGCCCGTCACCTGGGTGGTTTTAAACTGCTGATGAAACACAGCTGCATTCTGTGCAACATCGCGCAGTACGTGTGCCAATCTCCATATAAGGAGACATTTAGCACAAAGCACGGGAGGCACATACCATAGACATGGCAAGATGGCTGTTTCACAAAACATGAAGTAAAATTGGTCAACAAAATCGTTAGAAATTAGTGAATTTTGACTTGTTTTGACTTTTTGACTGAAAAAGGTATTTATGAATGGGAATAAATATGGGCCCGCCTTCTGCTCAGGCCATTATTCGCGTCCAGGCCCCCAGCCGCTTTTAAACGTACGTGTTTGCTCAATACTGGCTAAGCACATATTTATTCCATTAGTAACACATGGCGTCTGCACACGAGAATTAGCATGAGTGTAAGCACAAAGGCAACACTGGCACCAAAGTGTCCTTTTTTTCCCACCATGGAAAGGGTACTTTGCACAAATATGCAGGACAGCAGATGACCTACTTGTAACATCCAGGGCACAGGCCACTGTCTGTGTTCTCACTGGTCTACATTTGTAAGGCATGACGTATGAATTTAAACTTTTTATCTTCAAAAACCCAGTAGCACTGGAGTTGATGCTGATTGCTGAGCTTACGATGGAACTGCCATTCATGTGTCGTTTCCTGTGTCTCTTCTTTTTTCTTCTTCAATATTCAGAGGGCTCCAGGATAAATAGTCATTTTATTAATTCTAAGATCTCAATCAATGAAGATATCAATTCCCAACTAGAAAAAAAACGTAATAATCAAGTTTCTGGGAATTGCTTACAAATTTCACGCAGATTCCGCGACGTGAATTCATACAGGGCGAGTCAAAAAAAGCGGAACCCAAACCCCCAAAAATTATATTTCATATTTAAAAAAATATGTAGCACCAAAGCTAATAATGACTGGAAAGCCAATTTCATAAGCTACTTTTAGCTGAAAAAATCACTGAAATTGCTTAATCTGTTTAAAGAATATCACCATTTAAACACAATGTTCCTAAAACCTATTTCATCCAAAAATGCAATTCCAAGAATCGTTGTCACAATTGTCTTCAAACATCACCAGCGATAAATCCTCAGTTTAAAAGTTAAACACATTCAACAAAGTCCTTTTGAAGGCCCGTCTGAAGAAAAAAAAGATGGATTTTATAAATCATATTGTTTGCCTAATCAGGGTTGTTAACAAAGATATTGTGTGCTACAGTTGTTGACAGTTGTTGACACAAGTATTGTGTGTCATTTTCTTTGTTGTTCCAAACAGTCGGAATACACAATAAATGTTGTTGTTTTTGGACGAAACAGGTTTTAGGGTTATTGCGTTTAAATGGTGATATTCTTTGAACGGATTGAGCAATTTCAGTATTTTTTTTTCATCTAAAAGAAGTTTATGAAATTGGCTTTCCAGTCATTATTATTTTTGGTGCTACATATTTTTTTTAAATGTGAAATATAATTTTTGGGGTTTGGGTTCTGCTTTTTTGACTCACCCTGTACAATGAACAATAAACCATCTCGCCACTGTTTTCAGACTTTTCAATGGGCCCGGCAAGCACGAGGTAATAATAATGTAGTGCGTGTACATTTAGATAATTATACACATCAATACTATCAGCTAACTACAACACAATAAAGTATATAAGTGGCAGGTTCTGTGTACATTGTATGTTATATTTTGGATTACCACGGTCGGTGCTGTATGGACTGCCTTTTATCATTACAAGTTGATTTCGGCAAAGAGCGCGGGAAGGGTGACATCCGCCGACTGCTCGTGGTAACCATCCTTGATGCTCTTCTTGTGCAACAGCTCAATTTTGTACAATCGCGGCAGGAAGCTGATGAATTTCAAGTACTGCTTCATCTCCCCGTATTTTTCTACAAAACAAGTTGGAGATCAGACGAGGATGAGTCACTGGAACCTGTGAAACGTTACTCTTTATGGGAAAGTTCCTAAAATGTTGAACAACCTAAAGGTGAATCTGTGGTCATTTCAGACATGCAACTTTTCCTCAGATCAGCTGATTTCCTCTTTTTGTACTTCCCATAAGTGCCATTAAAAATAGAAAAACACTATACAAAGTCTTGGAAAGATTTGAATTTCCTCTTTTTTGTGACTTCCCAGTTGCATGCCTGTCATTTTGAGCATGCAAGAAACATTCTCGAAATGACATTTTGGTGGCAGGGAAACAACGGGGTTAAGGAATCTGTTTATTCCAAGATGCTTCGATACACTGACAAAAAATGTCAGACAAAACAATTTTCTGTACTAACACACACTACTTTCACATTGTGACCTCCCCCCCCCCCCTTCCTTCCTTCCTTCCCTCCCCCCCCCCCCCCCCCCCCCCCCTTCCCCAAATTTGACCAATTTCAGTGTTGGACTTACCAAGACAGTAATGCTTGAAGATCAGACGTAGTTTGCCATGGAGATTGAGAATAAAGTCTACGCTTTCCAGACCACTGGGATCTATTCAAAGGCAGACAAAAGCAATCATTTTGGGGAGTCTAGATATGTGGCTGTTACATTTTATAACATGTTGGGGGTAGCATTCACATTGTAAATTACCTACCTGGATTGATGAAGATCAGAGCCATGATGAGCGCAATCTCGTGCTCGTCGAAGGTCACCTTGGAGAAATCCTCCCGAAAGCTGTAGCAGCTGGTCTTCATGCCGCAGACCAGCGCCTCCAGGGACGGCACGGTGAAGAAAGTGTGCTCCAGCCAGGAATACTCCTCTCCTTGCCAGCAGAGGTGGCACAGGATGGAGGGGAAGGTGCCCAACTTGATCAGGTTCATCTGGTCACTGACAGGGATCTCACGGAACCCTGATCAAAAAAAAAAAAAAATCAGAAATGGAAGGAAAAGCTAGGAGTGGTGATACAGAGAGCAATCGATGGAGATTTCTTTTTTTTTATTTGGGGAAAGGTCAATGTTAAATGTACCAAGCAAGCCTCGACCGTTTTTGTTCAGCAATGTGGGATGCTGTGGTCCAATGGTTACGGTGTTCGACTCGTGTGCCGTGGTACGTGGGTTCGAATCTTGACAGGGAACATGGTGCTTGTGCTCTTGAGCAAGGCACTGTACCATTCTTGCTTTGTCTTTCAGATGGGATGTAAAGCCGTAGGTCCCGTGTGTTGTGTAATGCACGTTAAAGAACCCAGTAACACTTATCGCTTAGAGAAGGGGTTTGCCCCGGTGTTTCTGGCAGTGGCCGCAATATGCGCTGCAGCAACTTGTAAACCCTTATGAAGGTGCTACATAATGGGTCTCATATTTCTCATAAACTTTATTTACCTGTCTTTTTAAAAATAGACACAATTACCAGCGCCTTGAGTACCTAATTGTTGGTAGATACGTGCGCTATATAAGACTCCGGTATTATTCTTCACTGACATAATCATGTGACCATTGTGCTGTCAGTGGTAGATCGAGCAAAATAATCAACAACCTTGCGTAGGTTGATTCCCCCTACAACTCCTAGAAGGCTTGGAAAATATGTCAATATTAGATATCATGCTATTTTTGTATGTCAATTATTGTTTTCAGGGTTCGAAATTAGCGGTAGCCCACTGGCCAAATACTAGTCAAAACAGCGGCGGGCTAGTCAAACTATTCCTTAAGTAGCCCGGCCCGCGAGTCAAACAATTATTGGGATACGGCAAAGATGAAAGGACAGGAATAACTATAAAGGAAATATTCCCATATCTGGCCATCACTTGTCACTCTGCGCACAAATTGTATGAGAGTGTTTTCTAAGTACCGGTACATACTTCAACATTTTCCCTGCTAAATTTGACTTTTTATGACATATTAGCACTGTCTGATGGCTGATATGACCTATAGGTCACTGAGGGAGAAATTAGTGATGGCCAGATCTATATATATGGGAATATTTCCAGAATGAAATCATGAAATTCAGAAAAGAAACCTATATCAATTTGTGTCTAATTTTATCAACTGTTAGTGTTAGAGTTAAATTATTAGATCTGTTTATTAAAAACACTGACAAAATTGCCTCAGTCATTGTTGTTATGAGACACTCTATAAACATAATAACAAAAAACATTTTGGCTAGTGAAAATGCCCGCGGGCTAGTTAAGAGTATGTTTCAGTAGCCCAGCTGGCTAGTGAAAAAAAAGGTCGAACCCTGGTTTTGAGTCCATTTCAAAATTACTTTTTTAAATATCATGATAAACATCTTTGCTAGGTTCAAAAGTCTGACCCTCTTAACCTTGTTTGAAAAATCACAATATTTGAGCTGGAGGTTTTACATATTCTTTGCATCTCGCTGTGGAAATTAACTCCAAAAGTTGTTACAATTTGGACACAATAAAAACATTGTTGTATCTGAATTCCTAAAAGAACATTTGATTGGAATTGGAGCTTTGCAGGTTTCAGAGATGAAACTGGCATATGGCAAAAAAATCGGAAAATACGTCAAAACAAAATTACGTGTCCGAAATCTGGGCCGCGCTGCGGTTACACACATGTACATGCATGTACAATACACTTCATGCCCAATTTCCGGACACCAACTCTTGCTTAATTATTTTCGATTCAAACAAAATTTTACGATGAAAAAAAAAAATGGTCAGTGTTTTCATTGCATAAAACGCCTGAATTGCGGTTAGAGTAATGGAGTCGTCAACAAAGAAGTTCACTTCTTACTTTAAAAGTCGAGGAAAAAGTCCGAAAGACAAAGGCACCGTTCATGGTGCTTCAATCATGTCCATGATTCAACCACACAACTCCACTACTCCACTTGCATTCGTATGTGGGGAAAAATCAGGCATTATCGTCTTTCTCTTCCAACAAATGCCAGTGAAATGTTTCGCTAATGCTCTCTTCGCTATCCTCGAGATAATCCTCATGATTTTTAAAGCATTGCATTTTATATAACTAAATCTGAAACCTCCGAAAATCGCACAACATAATGATTTTAGCCACTGGATCGTTCACGAGGCTACCTGTTCCCGACCGGCCATGTGCTGTGCACTAGCAGACGGTGCGGTACGTATGCTGGTACCATTGCATGCATCTTTGTGCATATGCACGCACGTGCATCACAGTGATTTTTCCATGTCACCTGTCAATGTTTAACCTTTTGTCCAGCCGGAAAAGGCTCCGATCAGTGTTATGGCCTGTTTCTACCATTGAAACACTCCAATAACGACTGGTGAAAGAGATTAAAACTACGTTCGCGATGATTTTAACGTGCCATTTCCATCGACTTTTCATTGACTTTTCTTCGAAATTATGATTGAAATAAAATGACTTTTTGTGAAAAAATCGTTACAAAATCAAATTTATGGGACACATAAGAAAATCGGATATTTCGTTGGAAAATTCAAAAAGTCAGATTTCCAATTAAAATCGGAAAAGTTTCATCTCTGAGGTTTTAAGATTTCTCTTATACAACAAATGTGACCTACAGTATGCAATGGGTCCGATATCTGATAACTGATAATTTTAGAAAGGGTGGAAAGAGCGTGAGACTGCTTGGGTTGGGCATGGCATAAGGTCTGATGTTATATGCCTCAAAATGTCATGCCTAACTTTGACGTCAAACTACAACTGAAATTGAACTCACCAGGTATATTCTTTGCAAAGTTGACAGAGCCAATGATCTTCAGGGACACTCTCTCCTGAAATAACCGCATGGCTTCCGGTGAAGCTTTGTCCATCTTTGTGCGTAACTTAATAAAGACAAATCAACAAACAAGAAACAAACTTCACCCAGATAGCCGACGTCACGTGTATGATATGCGGTACCTTCCTCACAGTCATAACAGTGTGCATCTACTACATGTAACTCTGCCTCTTGGTATTGTTATAAAATATGCCATTAACATCAAAATGCATGTAGGCAGAGTGGTATGTTGCTTTCTCAATGATTTCAAGACCAGTGTTGGTGCCAGACTCTCAAATTGGAGGGGGGGGGGACAATTGGGGGGGTTGGGGCAGTCAAAATAAAATCTTAAGCCTGTGTTCGTGCGCGTGGGCCCACTGTCAATGGTCCAGAAATAAGCCACTAGAGCAACTTAGAAGTGTAGTTGTTTTTTTTTGGATGAGAAATGTATCGAACCGCGGAATGGTGTATAACGAATGTACAAAGACAGTTATTGTGGCATGTTTTGTCTAAAGTACCAATGTTTATAATGCTTTCATTGGCCCAAAATGTGTCCATATTTTATGAATCTTAACAGCGAAGAAAATAAACATAATTAATCTCTTTGTTGATAAAGTGTTGGGGGAAAACTGGGGGGGGGGGGCAAACTGGGGGGGAAAGGAAAACTTGTATTTTGAATTCATCATGATGTAGCAGTTGCCTGACTCTGCAGTAATCCATCAAATTACAACTAAACCTCAGATTTGGATGGACTTAGGTCAGTTATTTGGTTCACACAATCTAGACTCTCATGGCAGCTTTTTTTAGTTTGAAAGTTGTCCTTCTTTTACCCTTGGTAACTGAAGAAAAAAAAATAAACGTTTCTCACCTCTTCGGTAGCCTCTATCTGCGGCTTGGATTGAGACATTGTCTGGAAAAGTATCGCCAGTTCCTCAAATGCCTGTGTTACCTCAACAATGATCAAATCGCGCTCAAACTTCTGCACAGGCTGTGAGGTCCTGCTCAATAGAGCTTCACTCTCCTCACTCAGAATCTCTCCTTTCTGGCATCCAAGCTCCAGACGCCTGGCTACCTTCTGGGCATAAGCCAGGTTTTTCACGCTGCCCTCCGACTGCTCCTGTTGTAGCTTGTGTGTCGATGGTGACATCTTGGCACTCTTTAGTTGCTCATTATTCTCACTGTCGTCACTCAGGGAATGCTTGCCAGGGACTCTACTTAGGTCTGGGCCGGTACCCCTCCTCATGGCTTCAGGGTTGTGTTGTCTCTGAAAGGGCTCTGTGATGCAAGAACCACTGTCCTCCTGTTTGACCTTTACAGACGTTTTAACACTTGAACCAGGATCCATCATGGCAAATGGCTTGCTAGTTTTGTCCTGGTACATGTCCTGGTGTAGTGACCGGGAAGCATCCTGGCTCATCATGGGTCTACTTGGAGAAGCTGCTGCCAAGCTTTCCATGCCTTTGTCGGTCATTTCATCACTGTTTCTTGCCTGAAAAGAAGCTGGAGATGACGGACTGTGGCTGCTCCCCGAGCTGACCTCAAAACTGAAAGCAGGTGTGGTTGGCATGGACTGGCTGTCTAATGCCATTGCCTGGGGGTTTGGTAAGCTCAGGTTGGTGTCAGCAGTGGAATGTGACCCATCATCAAAATAATTACGTCTGAAAGTAAAGTCTGAGCCTCCGGAAGGCATTGTAGAGAAGGCATTACAGACTGGAGTATACTGCACTGAACTCATAGGATGCTGAGGAGAGTGAATGGTTGTAGAACTCGGCATGCTACTGGTTGGCAGACCACTAAAAGGTCCCAGAGATGTATGTGGTAGTTTTGGACAAGCCCCAGGGTTTGGGTATCTGCCAAGAGTTGGGGCGTTCCCAGTAAATCCTGGATTCCCCGAGCTAGGAGAGATTCCAGAGCTCAAGCCTCCACCCTTAGATGCAAAGCCTGTTACTGAAGTGACCGTAGGAGCTGGGGGGCTTGCCCTGACCTGCTGAACAGATTTGAAGTCCATGATGGGGGAACTCCTTCCACCGAATCCCCTCGCAAAGCTCTCTGGTACAGCCAGCGACTCGCCGACTCCCGGCCCACCGAGCAGGGGTGAAGAAGAGTTTACTTCCATTGTGGTCTCATCATCATCATCATCATCAAAAGCTTGACTCGGAGAGCATTCCCCCCAGCTGGCAGTATCCATCGGTTGAGATACCCGAGGCATTTTGCTACTGCTGTCTGAAACTTCCATGTCAAGTTTGTGATGCCGGCCTAGCTTAATACCTGCAGTAAAACAAAGGTTTCTTTTGAATATGTGGGACACAATGTTTAATTCAGACATGTTCGGTACACAATAAGCCATTTGCGAATAACCTGTACCCTTTGCGAGTTGCATTTGAATAACATCTGGTACACTGACTTGCTCATAATGCTTGGCACGTTTTAACTTTGAATTCTCCAGACCAAAGACACTGCTGCTTCATTTGGGGCAAGCTCTTGCATAGTTACGTAAGAGACGCTCGGCATCAATACATTGCTCACAATGGGTGAAAATGGCACAAAGACACCAGACCATTCGGAAGGCCAAGTTCGGCTATTTTAAGTTTGGTTCGACGGTTCGGCTACAGCACTAGTACTCTTTCAAATAAGAAACAGTAAAATCTATATTCTATCAAGATAACGCCTGAAATGCCATTTCAGTAATTACCAAAGCTCCAATTACTGTGGAAGTCAACTTTAGCCGATAAACTCCATCTATGCTACGGAGTCCAGTCCCTGAATCTAATATTTCAGGCAATAAAGTTGTGGAGACATTTCTATAACTGTATCAATTTGCTGAAACGTGCACTAAAGATCCTATGCCTGGTCACACAATTTGATTAGTTTATCACTTCGCGCTGGCAGTATTTTTGCCGAAAATTTTTGATTTTCGCAGTGCGCCACCAAGAGTTTGCCACGGAGAGTTCATTTTTCCCAGTGCATTGTGGGAGATGGTCGACAAATTCGCAGCGTGGGATCTTTGAATTTGTTAGTTTTTCCGGTCAGTGTAGTTTTGTAAGCGTATGATTCGAGTATCTGTTTGCGCTTTTCTTTTCTTTTTATCAATATGGTGTTTTTTGTAAGGTGGCAGAATGCTATGCCCCAATCTTTAACAAATTAGCTCAAGTTGTCTACTGACACTCATTCAAATGGGCCATGTTTTGTTGACCATAAACTTGAAAAATGGACTCCTCATGGCAAACTCTTGGTGGCGCACCGCATTGTGAATCGCCCGAATTGACCAGGTTAGAATCTCTGCGGTAGGGAATCAGCTTACTTTGTCTGGACATGCCGACTTGCAGGCACTTCTGGTAGCGGCAATACCGGCAGACGTTACGTGACGTCGGGGTAATGACGCATTTCTTTTCATCACCGCACATATACGAGGCCCCGTCCTTCAAGCTTCGACGGAAAAAACCCTGTGAGGTGATGAAAAATGGAAAATGGTGAGACGATTTTCATCGTGCATACGAAAAAATATGGCGGTTTCCAGATTGGTGTTTTAATTAAGTCAATCACAAGTCCTCATAAGTCCTCACAAGTCAGGTTCTTACAAGCTATTCATATGAGCTGTGACAAAGGTACTCTTTTGTAATTATTCATCAGCCGTTACTTGCGACAGGACTTGTGAGTGGACTTGTGATTTACCTGTGACCGGAGTTGAGAAGGACTTGTGATGGACTTGACTACTGTTCCTGATAACGTTGTTCAATCAAGTACAGAGTTTTAGATAAGAATGGAAAGTTTGCATCGTGGGGATAACAGCAAGGTAAGTTTGCAGAAACACTATGTGAAATTAATCTCTCTTGTGAGTTTGTGATGGTTCTGAGAAGAACCGGTTTGGACTCAACATTTCGGACAGCATACTCTGTCCGTCGTCAGGAACACCTAAAAAGTGTCTAAGTGCAAGTCACATCAGGAACAGTCAATACAACAATACCAATATATCTACATAAAATACACTTATTCTCACAGCGAAATTTGCATTCTGAGTGAAAGTGTATGTATTACAGCATGGACATAGAGTCAAGCTTTGGACCACATGTGAATGCTATGGGCTCCATTTAACCACTTTTGAGAGGCCTGTTGACAGTACACACCATGTTCGCATACTGGTTCGCTCACGTATAGCTGCGAAGTACGCACGACTTATTTTATTCTGAATGTACACAAACTCATAGCGTCTTCGCGTGAGCATCAGGCATCGTCAGCAATGCGTTCTCTTCCAGTGGTCTCCCCCAACTCTCCCATTCTTACCGTTGAGGGGGTACTTTCTTAACGTTGAGGTGGTAAAAACAGCTTACCAGCCAAATACTGCGTGGGACCAGTGATCTCTACCTAAAGACTGGACAGCGTACAGAAAGCCACAGAAGAAGCCTTTTGAAGCCATATTGGAACTAGACAGGTTGGTGTTCTATAAAGGACAAGTTGCCGTCTTAAGCAGTTGTGATTCACTTTTGTAACATCGTGGTTCACCTGGTTTACCTTTTGTCCACCACCACTGACCACGGTTCACAATTCTTCAAACATCATGGTTTACTTTTTAAATGCCGCAGTTCAAATTTTTGCGACGTTTGAAAATATAATCACGACGAAAATGTGTCCTTTTTGTAAACATTATAATACATGTACGTGAACAAAATGCGTGTCAGATCTTGATACAGCACGCTCCGTATCACGTAGGTAGAATGTTCATATATCGACAGCCATTTTTGCAAGACCGGGGCAAACTGGTCAAAATGCAAACTCAACTATGTGAGTGGTGTATGGGTATCCGCTATCCAGTCTTTATATAGAGATCAGGGCCCAATTTCATGACTGCTTACCATTAGCGAAAAATCCCTGCTTACTGTAGCAGAAATTTCCATGCTTACGGTAAGCGTATTTCACAGGTTAGCGAGGAATCTTGGCTTCTGCACATGCATACATCCCATTAAAGGATTCTGTGCTTACAGGGTTAGCGCAGAATTGTTCTGCTAGTACTGTTAGCACATAATGACGATCGTAAGCACGCTATTTTGTGGTAAGCAGAGCCGTGAAATTGGGCCCAATGCTTGGGACTGGTTTGCATATGATTTCTGCTTAGGAAATAAAATTTGCTCAGCAACATTTTCTATTTTGCACAGCACCTCCTTGACACTGGGCCCTGATCTCCGGTAAGAGCATTCAACTCACTTTGCATCCTTCGCATGTGAAGACCCCAAAATGGATACCCGAAGACATGTCATTGCAGACTTTGCATGGTGTATTGTCTGCTGGTGGGTCCTTGCTTGGCTGCTTGACTGAAAAACAAACAAAAATGATAAATGACAACAAAGCTCAGAAAAAAATATCATTATCATCTAAATACTGTGGAAAGATCCACCTACAGCCTCGCTTTTGTTCAGGGCTAGATTGCAATGAAGGACACTTCAACAGGTTTATGAAGAACTTGGTTCGTGCTAAAAGATTAAAGGATCAAAACAATCTACTGTATGAACAGTCAATCACCTCTTTTCATGTCATGCCAGTGTGCAAATAATATTGACGCGAGAAAGTGTAAAACGCATATATTCTGTCAGATCTTCGTTTCTCTTTTTAATACATGGTGCCCCTGAGAGAGATATTCATTTATAACAGCCATATGGACAAATGTAAGATAACATGTTATTTAACCCTCCTGCTATTTAAACAGTCACAGACAGTCAAAATTCACTTCCACTTCCCCTACTATAGCCTACTTTTAACACAGGCTAGTCACCAACAGTCAAATCATATGTCAAGCAAGCAATGTGACTAGTCAAACTCAGTCAACAGACCATGAACAGACAAAGCAGACAAGTTGTGGGCACAGCTGGCTTATCAATTACCCACAGTCAAAGCAAAGCTGTATCAAGTTAATCTTGCTTTGTGGTTTGGGAATTCTTAACTATTGAAAACAGTCACTTGATAAATTTTGACAACTTGGAACAGAATGCATGTTTGCATAGGAGGGTTGCCAAGTAGTGGGACATAAATATACTTCAGTTGTACAGAGTTCAATTATTCAACCCAGCATTTTGCCTCACTGCAACTTCAATAAGGAAATAAATGTGTGTTTGGGAGGTATTATAACACTCTGTTTAAGACCGGTTTGACTCCGGATGGGCGATAATTACCCGAGGCGAAGCCGAGGGTAATTATCGCCCATCCAGACTCAAACCGGTCTTAAACAGAGTGTTTAATACCGACCGAACACACATTTATTCCCATCCATAAATACCTTTTCGGTCCAAAAATTAAAAAAATGTCAAAAAGCTAGACGTTGCCAACCATTTTGTTCAACAATTTTATATCATGTTTTACGAAAAACCCCTCTGACTATAATATGGAATACCCCTCCACAATTCGTTACCTTATAGGGACATTGGCGTGCGCGTCGCGCATACTGCGCGATGTCGCGCAAAACGCAGCTGGGCTGGTGAAGTGTGAATTTCGGAACATGAAATACTGATTCACTGGTAGTACATTGCGCATGCATACGGGAGGAATTTGAACGTTCAACCAATGAAACGTTAAAAGGAACCGGATTTCATAGGAGTCCAAATTTCATGTGACACTGGAAAAGCGTTTAAGACCAGCTAGCCATGTCTTTATCATCCGTTTAAGACCGGCCAAGTGACGGGCTCTCGACCAATAGGAATGCGTAAACTGTCTTAGGTATTTATGAAAGATGATTTAGTGTAATGTGAAGAGCAATAACTGTTTCCTTGTTTCATTTATTCCGTGTTTCACTGTTGGCTTATCATTGATTCATCTTCTTGGAAAGTTCAAAGTGGATTTTACCCACTCAATTTGGTCTGTTGTAATGTATGTGAAAATTGACACCACAGTTTTATCATACTTTCACCTCTTCAAAACTATTGTGTATTCACCACAAATATTCCACTGAATGTATAATTGGCAATATGATGCACATATACATATGTACAGTTGTATGCATTTCACTTTCTCTATGCATGGTCATTGACAATTAAAGGGTCCATGAAACAAATAAGGGTTTAGCTCTTCAAATTGTAAACCCCAAATTTTACTTATTGAAAACATTTGGGCAGAAACTTTTCTTATAGTCTTTCTGTCATATATGAAACAACAATGAACCACTGAAAGCAGAAATGTAACCACATCAAACTCCAAAAAAGGTATAAAATGCTACTTTTTGACATCCAAAAATGGATGACGGCTGTGAATTATTATTATTATTATTATTAATTATTTCTGGTAATGAAACCAAGGATTCCTCAAAAGCGCCCAAGGCACTGTAGCTCCCAACATTGAAAAAAACCTGTAGAGAGGAGACAATGAGAAGAAATTACAGCTTTAGAGGTGGGAGGAAAACCCCAGAAGAATATTCTGGGGAAACCCACAGAATCAGGTAGGGACTGAAAACCCAATCCACATGTTGGCCCAGGCAGGATTTGAACCCGGGTCACAGCGGTGGATGGCAGGGAAAGTACCGCTACGCCAACCTGACTCCCCCATAAGTTTAAGAGATTAAGACTATCATACATGCTACCGGTAGAAATAAGGTTATGATTGAAATATGTGTAATTGCATTAATAGCAATCAATGTTTAAACTTTACCAAATTTTTTGAGTTTTTTGTAGTAAAATTTTTTTTTCACTTTACGACATGATTTCTCCAAAAATGTTTGATAAAATTGGGTTCTTTGTTAATTTCTCATACTTGAATACATGTATAATCTGTAATAAAAATGTGAAACTGGGTTAAAAAATTAAACTTTTTTTTCACAGCCATGTCCATCAAACCTTGGAATCGCCCATTAGCATAAAAACCAAAAAGGCACCAAAACGCCCTTGAAATGGCGACATGAAGATTAAATATAATATTAAATGAAAAACAAAGATACATTTTCAAGGATTGCATTTTAAAAAAATTCCTTACATGGGCCCTCAAAGGATATAATAGCATGGTGGAACAGTTTTTAAAAACGTCAGGTTTAAACTAGGTAGGGGCTAGGTCGCCGATAATGGTACGAGCTGAAGGTAGGTTGGATGTCTCCTCTTCCAAGAGTTGATAACCCATGAACCTGAGGTGTGTGTACATTTCCAGGGATGGCAATGGCCTTAATGTCACAAGAAAACATTAAAAGCTGGTGTACATATTTTATGATGGTTTTTAGAGATCGGTTGGTAAACTCAATTTATGTCATCATGAATTTCATCTGTTTGTTTCCATACTACTTAGGGTGCGGTTATTTTCTTTACTGATAAATTTAGTTTACTGATAAAATTACTGACAAAATAACCTTGAAACATCTACATTAATTTTTTTTAAGTCACTGTAATTGTTTGTTGATGGACATTACAGAATTTCCCCTTCTTGACCATTCAGTTACTTGTTATATGTGTATTTAACAGTTATGAAGTACGACTACTTCTTTTTGAAAATGACCCTCAGGCTTAAAAAAATAAATAATAATCATGTATTTGTAGGCCTAATTTGAATACCAGTTTGAATAAAACAGATGTTTCTACACCATTTTCACAAGACAATAAACACTGCCATCTGCATAGATGCCATCTGCTGGGTTTTGTGTGGTTATATTCACACAGTTGTGAATACCTGTTTGAAGGAGAAATTATAAAAACTGTTGTGCAGAATTAAAGGTACATGTAATACAAAATTTGCAAAGATAAAAAAAACTAAAAATACCAAATTATTATGAAATACATGAATGGTACCTTACTCAACTGAATAATAGTCTCAAGCATCCTGTGAAATCATGGCACCTGGTGTGCTGTCATTTTCAAGAAAAGTGGATTTTTTTTTATCGATTTCCAAAATGGTCAGCCGACCATCATTGAAAAAATAACCTGATTTTTTTTTCTTTCTTTAAATACTGCCCCCAATTTAGCAAATTTAGTTTGCTAAGTCCACACTTTGTTTGCATTTGGTTGCACATAAATGCAGGCCAGCTACCGGTAGTCTGTTTCCCTGACCTGACAATTCCCAGATGTCTACAAATTGCTTCATTTTGTCTGAAGTAGGGTCAGGGTACCAGACTACAAGAGCAATGTACATTGTAATATTACTCGGCTGATGATCAACATCAATACATAAATATATTTCAAAACTGCAATCAGTTGTATGAATTCCTAGATTTATGCATGTTTACATGTGTACACATGTACACATGTATGTACACGTGACATGGCTATTACAATACACACGTGGCTGTTACAATGTACGTGTATGATTAAAGGTATAGACACCAAATATTTTTGCAGATTCATTTTTGGATGTTTGCAAATTGCAAATATCCAAAAGGAATCTGCAAAAATATTATGAATATTGCGCCCAAAACCCACAAAAGATGCCCCTGTAATGTCGGGCCGCAATTAATTCAAATTTGAAAAGTACTTCTTGCATTTATAACTAAACATTGGTGGCTTTTTGGTTCAATGTCTCCTTAATTAGGGAAATTGCTAGAAAAATAGAAGTTTAAAATGAAAATCCATTTTTTGGTGAACAGTAAAACCGAAAATAGCATGGGGAGAGTAATCTCTTTCTTTAGAGCACCAGTATACTATATTTTTTTATCTCTATTGATCCGTCCAAACCAATTTATACAATGGTTGTCATCACAGCCCATACAAAATCTGTGCAGAAAGACCTTTTTTCCTCATTTTTTTTACGATGCTGGATGTCAAGGTCATTCTTTAGTTAATAACGCATCATTGTTAAGAGAACAAAGAAATAAGAGGCCCTTCAATATTAACACACGCAAGGAACAAGCTTGGAAAATAAATGCAAGGTGCTGTGTTTAGTAATGAAGATGGACAGTGACATATCATGTTTTGTTGCTGGATATGCAGTGACCAACGGCATACATTTCTGCAAAAATATTTATCAGAAATGTTTTTCATAAATCTTGCTCTCCCTCTGTTACAACTGATAATGTTGTAACCAACTGATAACGTATCACCAAACGATAATGTCACACAAATTGACCGATATTGTATCATTAACCGATAATGTAACAAAAATGACGGATACTGTAGTAAATGTTACTACACAGTCAATTTTTGACATCAGTCAATTTTTGTTACATTATCGGTTAGGACTGATAATGTAACAATTGACTGATAGTGTAGTACATTTTACTACACTATCGGTCAATTTTGTGTTGTATTATCAGTTAGTGATACAATATCGGTCAATTTGTGTGACATTATCGGTTGGTGAGACATCATCCGTTGGTTACTACCGGTACATTGTCAGTTGTAACACCCTCCATGACAGTTGCCAAGGTGGGATGGGCAAAATGTCTTACTCTGCATGTTTTGTAACCAACAAACTAATTTTCATAGATTTCTTCTTCATTTTGTGTTTACATTTTAATATTTAAACTGATCAGCTCACAATGAAAGAAAATTGTGCCCGACCATAAAGCCTTTTAACTAAAAATTAAAAAAAATCTGTTGTTTCATTTTTTTTCATCTTTGCAAAATATCTGCATTAAACAATGTGCGTGCTAGCACTGCTTTTTCTATGTATTTTTAAAGCATATTAAATATTTTATCATACTGTATTGCGTACTGTATATCACTGTGTATTGAATGAATTCATGAAGTACATGTACATGGTAACTATGTTCATTTTTTTTGGGAAATTACACTTCTGTATTAGTGATACAGTGAAACGCCGGTATAACGAACACCACTATAACGAACATTTGGTTATAACGAACTTCCCCAGGGGCTCCCAAAATAGTGAATTCTATTATAATGCACAATCACTATAACAAACAACCACTATAGCGAGCACTTTCTGTGGACCCCATCATGTTCGTTATAGCGGCATTTCACTGTATTGTTATTTATGTACATTGTACATGTACCCGTACCACAATTTGTTTTTATATATTTGGTGGGGTCAGGATGGGCAAAATGAGATTTTGTAGTGAGCTTAAAAGCCATTATAAAATGGCAACGCATGTTGCAATTACAGAACAAAATTAAATCAGGTAAAATTCCTGATTACTGCTGATTCTGATACAATTGGTTACATGTACATAAATTCACATGTATGAACTGTAATCAAATACAAAATTGCCCAATTAAAGCTATAGTCCATCATTTGCAGCCATCCGAAAAAGTTACTGGCGTATTATTGTTGAAAAACATACTTGGTTGAAAGATAGTAAGTGCACTAAACTCCCTGTAAAATTAATCTTTCACATGCTATCATTTTGAAGTAATCAACAAAAGAAGGCCTTTCCAACAGTGCGTCTTAAGATGCACCGTAGGAAAATTTAAATTAGTAGTTCGTTTTGTTATTCGGCACAGCGCGCGCAAGCATTGGCACGACGCACAGGCGCGACATCGCGTATAGCTGCAATTCAAAACAATTCAAAACATGATTCAGCAACTTTTGATTTGAAATTGAGATCCTAGAATGCTGTTTTTCTCGGAATATACAGCTGAAGCTGAGCTGAAACTTCATCAGGTTAGTCGTTCAGTATCCTTCATTAGATTTTGAACACTGTTGTTGCTTCAAACGAACAAAATGCACAAATTACAAATGATGGACTATATAGTATATATTTAATTCTGAGTTGGATTGAGCCAGTCAGATTTTCATTAATCAAACAGCTGCATCACGGTGGTGAATCACAGAGCACCTTTGTAGCAACTACACGGATCTAAATCTTCATGGCGGGGAATTACAAGCACAAGTTACAAATGTACGTAAACGTAGGTTTACAACTAATGAGTGTGTACAAATGAAAAACAACTAATCTGTTGTGGTATTGAGGGCAAGTACGGGCCGGTATTAAAACCTAAACATCCGTAGTATTAGTAGTATTAGTAGTAGTAGTGACGTCTTGCCGAGATTAACAATTATCAAAGTTAAACATGACCTTTGCACATATACACTTCACAGAACCTTAAAGGGAATATACAACATTTGCAAACATCGAAAAATAAAACTACCAAGTTTTTACGAAATACCTTACTAGGATGTTGGTAAATGACAGTCTCAAGCATCTTGTAAAATTATAGCAACTGGTGTGAAGTCATTTTCAAGAAAATGGTATTTTTGTATACATTTCCAACGGTGGTCGGCCGACCACCGTTGGAAAAACCTAACTATTTTTCAACTACTGCTCCAAATTTACCTTTTTTCAGCCCAAATTTTGTTTGCTAAATTGGTTACATGTTCATGAACGGGTGCAGGCCAGCTAGACTGGTTCCCTTGCCTTACAATTTTCCATCATCTATAAATTGATCCATTTTATCTTTTGTGGAGTCAGGGAACCAGACTACTTGAACATTTTTGTTTTTCTTGGTTTTTCCAACCCTTTCGAACACAAAACTTCAAAAATGTCAGTGTAACAATATTTGATCTATTATACTAACCCCTCAAATAGTTCATTTCTGAAAATTACAGCAAAAGCCAATGATGTACATTCCCTTTAAAATCTAGCAACAGGCAAGTTCAAGGTTCAAATCCCATGAACTGGACCCTGAAAGCCAATATTTGGTTGGATTCACAGAAACCAGATGCATAGGTAGTGTCTGCAGTTTCAGTCATTGAGTGATCTTTTGAGGCACAATTACAGGTACATGTGCGTCTGTTTATGGTGTAAATCGAGGACACACACGTGCAACATCATTATTGAACTGAGGACAGGAACCAAATCGAGGACGACCTCGATTAGAAAACGTGTACAAAATCAATGAGAGCTGTTGCAAAAAAGTTATTGTACAAACAAAGGAAAAGGGAAGAAGAACAAAAGAAAAAAGGGAAGATACAACATTTGCAAACATCAAAAAACGAAATGATTAAATTTTCACGAAATATCTTACTGCATTGTTAAGGAATGACTGTTTAAAGCATCCTGTAAAATCGTGGCTCCTGGTGTGCTGACATCTTCAAGAACAATTGTATTTTTCCAACGCTGGTGGGCCGACCAGCGTTGGAGAAAACTGGCTTTTTGTCAAAACTGCTCCTAATTCTTCATATTTAGTTATTCCGCACTTTCTTTGCACTTGATTATACACTTGTGAAAGAGTACAAGCCTGCTAGACTGATTCTCTGACCTTACAATTCCCCAAAGTCTATAAATTGCTCTGTTTCATCGCAAGTGGAGTCAGGGAACGAGACTATATGAACATGATGTTATTCTTGGATTTCAGATGTCAGTTTAACAATATTTGCTATAACATACTAATCCTCCAAATCCATTTATTTCTGAAAATTGCAAAAAAAGCAAATGTTGTACATTCCCTTTAAGCAATTCTCTAGTGTTGTGATCAAAAGTTTACCTCTGAATTATATTTTTAGCATAGAGTTAACGTTTAACATAGAGTTAAAGCAACATTTGCAGGCAATTAATTTTTGACCGTACATATAATTTTCAGAAATGACTGAAATTGGGAATTTCTTGTTTGTTTTCTTGTATAAAACACTGACCTGTTTACAGTTTTTTGTTCATAGATGTTTAAAAAACCAAGGAAACAACTGCTGTTCTTGTACAGTCTGGTCACCTGACCCTACTTTAGACAAAACAGAGCAATTTATAAACGTCTGGGATTTGTAAGGTCAGGGAACCAGACTTGCTGGCTTGCACCTGTTCACGGATGTGTAACAGATTGCAAACAAACTAAATTTGGTAAATTTGGGGCAGTATTTGAAAAAAGTCTTTTTTTTTCAAATGATGATAAGACACACCACCATTGGAAATTGATACAAAAATTGCACTGTTCTTGAAAATGACAACACACCAGGTGCCATGATATCACAGGATGCTTGAGACTATTATTCACTTACAGGCAAGTAAGGTATTTCATAATAATGTGGTAGTTTTGTTCTTTGATGTTTTGCAAAATGTTGTACATTACCTTTAAAATAAATGTAATTTTCTCACAACAGCTTGGAGGGGAGGCTTGTTTGTTCATGCAACAGATTTCAAACTATTATTTCCTTTCTAATGTTTCAGGGCAAGTTCCTGGTTGGCACTGTGGTTTATTCTTCGAGATGCAAGGATTCTTTGATTGCACACTATGTGTCCATGTAATTACAGCAAATGATAAATGTGGGATTTGTTATTGAGCCACATTGTACCTTGCCCCGTATTACCAATTCCCAGTATAACCACATCCTATCCCCCAAAATATCATCACTGTCTCATTCATTTCAGTACACAACACTGAATTGACCTTTCGCCGTTTGCAAGTTAGCCACGCCCCTTCGACAACCCTATGGAATTCTTGTATGCTAAGTTTTATTTGTCTCAGATTTTGTGCGTTCCGCGTCCATTTGTATATCATGTAATTGGACAATATTTCACAAGCTGCGTTGACGCGATTCTAATGCGATCCTACCGCGATAGGTCAACTGAATTCATGCCAATGACAGTCAGTTGTTTCAAGATGCATTAAAAACTGTGGAAATCCCAATTACCATCACTTAGACAAAATTCAAGGCAAAACAATGAAACTATTCAACAACATAAAACATGTACATTGACTAAGGGACAAAAACACGTAGCCTGCAATCCAGTCAATTTTGAACAGGGCGGGGGGGGGGGGGAGAAAATTAATTTAAGGGTTGCAATGCAAAATATTGGGATTTTTGTTAGTTGTGTTTTGTTTTACTAAATTGAGATGAGAGAAATAAAAGTTACAATTCTATTATAAGTGTTTTGCGACTAACCTTTTCGGCACATTCCAGCATTCAAACACTTCTGGAATCGACAGTGTTGACAGAGAAGTCTGGAGGTGGGAGTGACGGGACAGGCACTGGAGGACTGACACTTGAACTTGGGCATGCCTTTCTTGGTGCTCCGAATGAAGAAACTCTAAAAGGGCCAACATTTTGCATGATGAAAGTACATGAAAAATCCCTGAATATGAACATATAATGTGCTAAACCCGTCCAAATTGAGCATTCCAGTGTATTCTTCAACAAATTTAATTTGTTTTCTTTTAATAAATTTTCAACTTGTATGCTCTATTCCAACCCAAAACCACTTTTTCCTTTTTTTTGGGACGTCTGCAAACCTCTGGGGGAAAAAAAAAATTGTTTTGGGCACAAACAGATCCGCTTTGCGAGCAGACTGGCTCCCGGTCCATACATTATTGATGCTGATTGTGGGGTGGGAACCAGCCTTGTACATGTACGCTGCAAGAACAGGAATTGTCTGGCAGCCAATAATTCAAATTGTAAAGAAATGATTCAAAAAGTAAACATCGGCCATTTTTTTTTCAGTGGATGTCTCATTCAAAAGTGAATATAAGTTTGTAAATTTGGTAATTTGCCAGAAAAATAGGAAGTTAGAAAGAAATCTATTTTCCGGATCAAGTCTGAAAATAGCACGAGGCATACATTTTTCACAGTGAAATTATGAATCCAGGCCAGCATACATGTACTACATCACATTACATTCTTTAGCCTGCAACCTTAATGTGAGCCTACCCAAAATCTTGGAAATCTACCAGGTTAAAAGATTTAAAAGATTTGCAGGATTGAGGAAGATATGTTACATGGAGAGCCTAACCATAAATTTAGTACATATTTGACAGGCCTATCCCTCGAAATGTAAAATTTGCACAATGAAGGGTTTTGTAGGATTCAGGATGCTTTCCAAGAGCAAATATGGAAAGTAGGGGTTAGTGATAACTTCTTTTCTAGATTTTTTGCAGGTGTTTAACGTACCTTGCAAGCTTCGCATATCTGCGCTCCAAAGTACCGGCCTGTTGCCTGGTCCTCGCAAACGGCGCACATGACCTGCCGACAATTTGGGGAGATTTTAGGGGTCTTGTGGTCTCGGGGAGAACAGGGCGACATGCTTGGTGACGTCTCAGAGGTTGTCGTGGTAACCAGCTCCTCGGCCATTTTGTTTCTAGTCCACTAGGAGAGGTCGGTTGGATTGTTGAGTCGTTATGAACGACAACGGTTCATCAGGTGCCTTGGGAATAAAGAAAAGGAGATCAACGTGAGCTGTTGAATAGACAATGTAATCTGTTTTCAGTTTATACATGTACATAGAACAACATCATCCAGACATTTGAAATAACATCCTGTTGGTCATGACGTTGCAAGAAAGTACTTGCCAATCTCTTACTATTCAGATTAGATTTCAATGAACTGCCAAAGATTGCATGCCAACGAAAACTTGCCAATTGTCTAAAGAACACTTCATTATAACTACAAGTACTTAATGAGGAAAAATATGTCTGTATGTATGCAAGGGTTCATAAGCTTTGTGTTTATGAGAATGAGTCAAAAAAGAGTAATTACTTGCCAACTGACTGTACCGCTGTCAAAATCATGTGAAATCTGCAGTCACGCCACACTTACCAGGTACATACATGTACATGCAAATCTACATTCTACATTTCTACATTCTATAAACTTTCCAGAAATGGCTGCACCAATTCTGGCCTACCTTTTCAACAAAATGCCATAAAAGAACAATTTTCCATCATTAATCTGCTAAATATTAACAATAACTGCTGCGTACCATTACCATAGTTTTTGTTAAATGCAAATCAGGTTCAGCCTTTGTGAAATGGCTAAACGTGTAAACGTTAAAACTGTTGTTAAAATATTTTCTAAACATTTACAAAATTAAATTCAAAGTCAAATCCTTAGTTTTTTTTTTCCAACGATGGTCAGCCGACCATCGTTGGAAATCGATACAAACATTCAACTTTTCCTGGAAATGACAGCACACCAGGTGCCCTGATTTCACAGGATGCTTGAGACTATCATTTACTTACAGTCAAGTAAGGTATGTCAAAATAGTTTGGTAGTTTTGTTTTTTGATGTTTGCAAATGTATCCCTAGAATTGACAAATTGACACAAAACTGAAATTTATTCTCTAAACCAACAACCCTTTTGAGTTCACTTTCAAACGCCATGTGTGCTTTTTAAACAAATACATCTATTCTCTTATTAAAATAATTGCACAACTTTATTTGACAAATTTTGAAAGTTTTTTTTTTGATGGATGCAACATGTACATTCTTCTTCCTGTTACTGAGATACCTACATCATACATTATGGATATGACATCATTTTAACCACTCACTTTACAGAGAATTTACAATGTACCACAGGGATATCCACACACGCTGGTAATTCTTTGCAATGAAGCAAAGAACTACATAAGCTGAAATTGCTGCCTACCGGTAGTATACAAATACAACATGGTTTGTCGGGAAATAGCGAAAACTAATGACCCCAAGATGTTGGATGATTGGGACCTTCCTTGGCCTAATCATCCAACACCGAGGGGCCATTTGTTTTCACTATTTCCCCGCAAAAACATGTTGTATTTGTTTTACTATACCTCATAAATATTCATCAGGCAGCTGCGGTATTTTATTGGTCCATTCCACCATGTTTTTGAGCTTACAGTATTTGGATAAAGTGAAACATTATTTTAATTTAAGGAGACAGACAGAATAGAAAGTTAATTTGGGTCATTTAATAACTTTAACATTCACGCAAAACACTGCATTTATTTTTATTGTGTAAAATTTTACCCAGTTCCTCCTCGGTTAAGATCGCAAACAAGCACCACCGGTCGCCAGTTTGATGTACGCCGTAATAGACTGGCACATGCAACTGTCCTCACTGACAGTGTTCTCCACGGTACGCACGCAAAGCACATGCATCGTTGGTAAAGAGATAACACAGTACTGGAACAAATTGAAGGCTGCGACCCAGGTGTGTGATAGTACCTCCCTGGTTTTTGCGCGTCACGCACGCGTACGAAGACGGGGGGGTGATAGTAAAAACTTTTGAGTTGAGTTGCTGGAATGGACCAAAGAAACGCTGCGGTTGCCTGATGAATATTTATGAGGTATAGTAATATGAAATCACTGTTAATATGCCCAAGGAAGTTTGCAGAGAGCACGCAAAAGGCGCTGAAACAGGATACACATGAGAAGTCAAAGAGTGAACATTAGGATTGACGTGAACGGAACTCAAAGACGTCAAGAACTCAAATAAGAAACTCGTCAAGTTGCCATTGCGCAAGCCCCCCAAGAGCGTTTATTACAAAGAGTGTTGTGCAAACAAACATACTAAGTGCTGAATGCTTTCCCTGTATCCATGGCAACCGTCTTCAATTATTTTTAGTGACCAATAACTCAAATGTTGAGTAAAGCCCAATGGATTTGGCTGAGTGACATTAGACAATTTTTCCTCATTAGTCTGTGCCTGGAAATTTTCCCCGTTCTATTACTTAACACATGTACATGTAGTTTGTTGCAAAATTTGCCTCAAAGGATGATTTCTTCGACCTTCTGCATAAATTCTAATGGAGGATTTGTTTTTATATAATAAATGTCAAATTAAACAATGATTGATATAGAGTGCTGGTAAAATTGAGATGTTATTAGCAGAAGTAACTACTTTTAAATTCATACAGTGCATGTATGCATGTACATACAGTACATAGCACTGTAATTGCGGCAGGTTTGTTCATAGATCCATGGTAATACTGGTCTGATGACGTACATGAACAACTTCCAGCATGTCCAGCTTCCATTTCCAATATTTCCTGCTTTCTGGCCATTCATAGGGGAAAAAACACAAATGAAGCATATTGAATCGTCAATAATGACATCCATTCCAAGGTGACGTCATGTACATGTATACATGTACATGTACATGCACGTGTAGTACATGTATGAATCGATGTAATACGTGTAGTGCATGTAATTATAAGATTGAATTTTGCGTCGGGGTGATATAAATCAAATTAGGTTTTGCCCTTCACCGACGTTTAAACACTGTATACTCAGTGTGTTACCTCCAAAGTGAAAGTTGGAAAAAATCACTCGGGTGGGACTCGAACCCACAACCTCCTGCTTTCTAGTGCAGCGGTACCCGCTGCTATATACATCAGATTCGAACCAGCCAACTGATCCCGTTAGCTCGGTGGTCGAGTGGTAAGACATCCGCACTAGAAAGCAGGAGGTCGTGGGTTCGAGTCCCACCCGAGTGATTTTTTTTTCAACTTTCACTTGGGAGGTAACACACTGAGTATACAGTGTTTAAACGTCGGTGAAGGGCTAAAACCTAATTTGATTTAGTACATATAAAGCGAAGTAATTTACTATTAATCAGAAAAAGCATGGCTACTACATGTACAATGTGTTGGATTTTATGAAACTGCGAGCTAAAATGCAGAATCTTTAAAACAACAGAATCGATATTTGCTTGGTAATCACCAACTCAAAGTGCCACATAATACAAAACAACTTTGTGTATTAGTATTGAGTCTCTTTGTAAAATCTTAAAAGGCTCGGGTGAGCAATATGTTTGATCTCTGATGAAAACCAGAACACCAGTAACAAACGACATCTTTTACTGCGTAAGTTTGCTGTGCATTTACGCATCTCCACAAAATGGGAACATGGCCATATCATCTGGACATTATTCTCCATGAATGCACATGTTGTATTTAATCAAGCACTGTCAAGCTGTTTTTAAAACAACCAATTAAGCCCCCCCCCCAAAAAAATAGTTCTGCTTCCAGTTACCCTACCTACCCTATTTTGACAGCCCCTACCCTAATTTGTTGGGGAAAAATGAGGGGAAAAAACCCAGAAACCATCAATTACTACCTTTTGCCCTTGACTACACGCAGACACCTCCATATGATCATACACCAAAAAGATTGCCAAAAACAAATTCCCTACCTACCTGCCCTATTTTCAAATGCCATGTAATCAAAAGCAGAACTATTTTTTTCTGGCCTTATTGCACTAGCTACCGGTACCAGCGAAGTACGAAATAAATAAATTCTCCTTTCAAATATGCCGATGAGTGAAATACTTTCAGCAAAATTTCTCACTAGTTGAAAAAAAAACACCCAGAATTCCCTTGAAGTGCTCCCGTGAATTTTCAGTTCCTTCCGAGTTCCTTTAAAGGTATATTCCATCATTTGTAATTTGTGCATTTTGTTCGTTTGAAGCAACAAAAGTGTTCAAAATCTAATGAAGGATACAGAACAATTAACCTGATGAAGTTTCAGCTCAGCTTCAGCTGTACATGTATATTCAGAGAAAAACAGCATTCTAGGATCTCAATTTCAAATCAAAAGCTGCTGAATCATGTTTTGAATTGTTTTGAATTGCAGCTACATGTACATGTATACGCGATGTCGCGCACTGATCCGACGAATTATAGCAACCGCGCGCGCCTGTGGGTCGTGCCAATGCTTGCGCGCACTGCGCCGAATAACAAAACGAACTACTAATTAAAATTTTCCTACGGTGCGTCTTAAGACGCACCGTTGGAAAGGCCTTCTTTTGTTGATTACTTCAAAATGATAGCTTGCCAGAAAGATAGATTTCACAGGGAGTTTAGTCCACTTACTATCTTTCAACCAAGTATGTTTTTCAACAATAATCGCCAGTTACTTTTTTGGATGGCTGCAAATGATGGACTATAGCTTTAATCCTTTCATTTGGATTTTTTTTTACCAATTTCCCGGTAGGTCTCTTTTGCACTAATGCAGTGCCTTTTTGGTATAATTGAGCGAGTAAATTTTACAGCGCAGCTCATACGTTGTATACATTAACGACCCAACATAAGTCAATAGTGGCAGAAACCAAATAACAACATTGATTGTGTCAGTGTCGGTATATGTTTCTGAGGAGTTTTTTTTTGTGTTTGCAATTTATCGTCTTCATGCATCCTGTAGGCCTATGCCTCATGAGACTGTTGCAGCTGCACATTGTTTATGAGCAGCTTGATGCATGTATCTCATCAACACTCTACTATGCTTTTAGCGATCCAAAAAGCTTTCATCTTCTGAGTAAGTTCTGAGTGAAATTGCCTAGAGAGTTAGGCTAAAGCAATACAGAATTTTTTTTATTTGACACAAGTATTTGAAGTTGATTGCCAGCCACTGGATGCCAAAGGTTAAAAATAACAAATTTAATTCTCAATTACATGTACAGGGCGAGTAAAAAAAAAAAAACGAAACCCAAATAACAGGACCATTGTTTCAGTGAAGTTCTGCATGTAGCACTTTCAAAATGTAGGATATGAAAGCCCAATTCATAAGCTTTCTTTTAGTACAAAATTCATTCAAATCACTCATGTACTTTTCAAGTTACTGAATTTTATACACAACCGCCGTTTTAAGGTTCTGTCCACGGATCACAAAAAAGTTCAGTGTACTTTCAGCAAAACGAAAACAAATCACATAAGAATGTGTTTGAATTGTTTTTGTTTTGCTGAAAGAATGCACACCTTTTTGTGATCCGTGGACAGAACTTTAAAATGGTGATTGTGTTTAAAACTCTGTAACTTGACAAGTACATAAATGATTTGAATGATTCTTGTAAAGCTAAATGAATTGGGCTTTCATATCCTAGATTTTGAAAGTGCTACATGCAGAACTTCACTAAAACAACGGTCCTGATATTTGGGTTTCGTTTTTTACTCACCCTGTACAAACCGGTACTTAATATTCTCAGAAAGAACAATTTGTCAAGGGAAAGTTATCCCTACCCAGAGTACCCTCTGGTACTTTTCAGAACCACACATACTCACAAAAGAGATTTTGCCACATGGTGCTACCGCAACAACTTACCTTATTATCTCTACCCACCCAATGCACATGCTTCAAAATAACAAATTTTGTTCTTACGGTACTTACATTGTACATGTACTTGTTGAATTCTACTCTAAAAGCTGGTTGATATTTTATGCAAACGCGATGCGAATTTGACGTCACAAAGCATTCGCTGCAAATTCGCCGGGGATGAAATGGGTTCAATATTTGCAAATTTGCAGCACGAAAACTTGCCCTGACGTCACAAATTTACATGCGTGTTCGCTTTCATGCAGAGTATGAGCCGACTTTAGAACAACAAAATTGATGGAGGGATAGCATTGCCTGACACACTTGTACATTTAATAGGATTAGGCCACACAAAAAATAGTTCTGCTTCCGGTTACCCTTCCTACCCTATTTTGACAGCCTCTTCCCCATTTTTTTTTTGTAGAAAAATGAGGAAAAAAACTTGTAAACCATCAATTACTACCTTTTACCCTACATGCAAACACCTCCATAATCATACACACACACAAAATTGCCAACAAAAAGTCCCTACCTACCTTACTTTCAAATGCCATGTAATCAGAAGCAGAACTGTTTTTTTGGCCTATAACACTGCGCCTTTCTTCATATTTAATGAGGATTTTGTGAGGTCTAATGACAATAGGTACTAGAAAATAATTAGATTATTGCATGGGCGCCTGTAGTCAACAGGAATTTCCACTGAAATTGATGAGGGACAAACCCTAATTACAATCAACACTCAGATCATTACCCTACACGCACATGGGCATTTCCACACTAATGAGCCAATTAGATAAGTTTATGGATGTTGCATAGAGAGGGTAAAAGATTAGTATTTAGTAAAAGGTTAGTATTTTCTAGTTTCTAGTTGAAAGTGACTAGCACAAGACACGAATAAGATTTCTTTTTTGGGGAAAAAAGAACAGGCATCTGTTCTGTGCGATGCGTACACGTATGTAACATGGACAGACACACTGCAAGGAAAAGGGTGCTTAGGACAAATTCAATTTCTAATAGGCACTTGCAGTGACATTATTAAGCCATTTTACATTGTTATCAAGCAAAAATATAACAGTTTCCACACTGGCTTCAAATTTATGATGTGATTAGGATTACGTATGAACAGGGACAGACATTTTGTGACAAATGTCCAGTCTGTTTGTACGTATAAATCCTGATTATATAATATCAAATAATTCTTCACATTGAATCTGAGTTTTCTAGGTTTTGACTGATAGCATTCCTCCAGGGTACATCTAATAAATAAGTCAACATTAGGGGATCATGAAATTTTATGCTTACTTTGTGACTTTATCTGAAATGTCTGTCCTTCGTTACGTACGTAACACTTTTTAAAACACTATCCACTATATTTTTCTAAAATACAAAAGCAGTTATATCCTTTGCAGATGAGGATATTTATTCGAAGCTTGCAATGTTTACAGCAAAAATTGAGGGACCAACATCGTACTTTTGGTAATCCTTACTTTTAGGACCCCGTTCCTATATAGGAAGGGAAAGACTCACCAAAACAGTTGACTAAATGACACTCAAAATTGACATTCTGATACTTCTTGGCACATCTGAACAATGGGCAATGACACCTTCTTGAATATCAGCAGGCTTAATTTTGTGGAAAGAGGGCAGGGCTTTGATTTATGAGGGAAATTCAGGGGTGAAAGACGACGATGACAACCAGAAAACAGACTCAAAAACCAAGATGGCAAACGTGAAAGCTCGATGCGATGAAAGCTTGATGCTGATTGGCTGATAAAAAATAAACATCTTATTTATTTTTTTTAGCAGCCAATCAGCATCGGGCTTTCATTATGTAGGGCTTTCACTGTGTTGTGAGAACTACACCATGCACGTCTGACTGTGCAAAAAGGTAGGAAAGTCACATTTTCTTTGAAAGTGCTTTCAAAATTACAACTAACATGAGTTTATATGAAGAAAAATGACTGCTTTAGCCTGCAAAAGTCACTTTGGTACTGGACAGACATCTGCAAAAGTCAGTTTTGAACAGAACTCGTAAAAAATAGAGGTGTCTTAAAAGTAAGGATTACCGTACTTTTATCATCAAAACTTCTCAAATGTCACACTTTTGGGCCCATTAGTGTGGAATTGCCCACATCTCCAGACTTCATGTACAGTAGATTGATTATTACCACAAAAAAAGATGTTTCATGGTGCCTACTGCTGTACATGTGTTTAAACAATTCAGGAGGAAAAGGCTAGAAGAGTGCTAGATTTTAATTTGTTTCTCCACAGAAGATTGGAAAGAAATCAAGTGTCTATTGCCTCACATTACAATACTAATCCACAACATTTGAAACATCTGAAATGTGTGATAGGTGAATAATGGATCGGATTTTTCACAGAGGTAAATGCAGGGAGTTTGTGACTCCTTTTAGTGTGCGCAAAATCAGTGCATTGGGGTACAAGGTCAAATCTTTCTGAGAACTAAGCTTGGGGAAAATCAGCAATGAGGGTACACGTAGGTTTGCAGTTTCACCGTATGACACTCTGTTGTAAACACCATCGATATATCGATATTACTCAATTATTTGATATTATTTTGATATCCATAGCGATTTTTTAAATCATATCGAAATATCAAAATTTTTGATATTGAAGAATAATATCAAAAATATCGAAAATGCATCAGATTATCGTCGAAACAAATATCCCATTTGTGCCTTTACTTTGTGTTTAAAGCTATTGTCCATCATTTGCAGCTATCCGAAAAGTAACTGGCGTAATTATTGTTGAAAAACATACTTGGTTGAAAGATAGTAAGGGGACTTAACTCCCTGAAATTATTCTTTCTGGCAAGCTGTCATTTTCAAGTAATCAATGAAAGAAGGCCTTTCCAACGGTGCTTCTTAAGACGCACCGTAGGATAATTTAAATTAGTAGTTTGTTTGTTTATTCAGCGAAGCGCGCACAAGCATTGGCACAACGCACACGCACTTGCTATAATTTGTCGGATCAGTGCGCGACATCGCGTAACTGCAATCGGCTCAGTGAGAACGTGTCTCGGACGCTGAATTCAGGCCCAATTCAAAACATGATTCAGCATCTTTTGACTTGAAATTGAGATCCTAGAATGCTGTTTTTCTCGAAAAATTTCATATTTGAGTCTATTGTTCTGTTTGAAGTCGATTACTACTACTATAGACCCGTGAACGTGGCGTTGTATACAACGCCACGTTCTTGTGTCATTTCGAACCTGGCGAAATCGATCAGATACTATATACATAATTCCGTATGGGTGTTGAGTACTCACCTAGAAATCTAAATTTGCTCGTCCGATTGTTTAGGCTGTGTAATTTCGACGAAATTTGTCCATCAGTAAAGACCCATACGAACGTGTGCGCACGCACACGCACGTGGGCGCACGTGCGCCCGCGTGCGGTGCGGTGAGAGAAGAAAGGACTTGAAACTTGTCCAAAACGATGTCTCTTTTAGCTGCGACAGTAAACAGCCATCGAATTATACGAAGGACGGTACAATAAAACGCAATGCGCATGCGTCACTTGGGAGAAAATGGCAGCTAGCAGGACTTCATAAACCGGGGCCAGAATTTTCCTCAAATTTCGTCAAATGCAAGTTCTGATGTACAATACAAACAGATTTCAAGACAACTTCATATGTGAGTACTTATTACATTTGCAAAATAACGTCCAGTGTGTGTAATGGAGGGAGTCAGAGGGACCATTTCGCCAGGTTCAGAAATACATAACAGCGTGGCGTAGTTTACAACTACAACAAGCCACGTTCACGGGTCTACTACTACTAGTACTACTAGCTTTGTGAATGTCTGTTGCATCGTATGAGGTATGAATTATGGAATCTGGGTCGGGATAATATAGGGAAAATGAACCGCTTTTGTAATGCACTGGGGATACAGAGTCCGGGATTTCGGGACTCTTACGACCTGGTACTTTTAACGTAGTTGTGACTCCAGCTCTAACATGTCTAATGTGATGGAGTTACTCAAGCTAATTACCAATATGCTTATTGCCAGAGACACGCCACGCTCAATTCTCTCTGTATGATTTAACCATGATGGCATGATTCCACTTATTACTCACCAAACCGTAGTAGATAGCAGAGTCAAGTTCAATAGCAGCGTAGTGTACTGTACTCAATCATGCGCAACGCAACGTGAACAATTCATGGTTGGTTGTGCAGAACTGCCAGTGGTCAGGTGGTGCCAGAAATAGCATTTAGATTATTTAGAATTCGGACTGTACCGTAGATACGAACACTTGGATCTTCAACAACAACTTAACAAGCGGTCAAGTATAGCTTACATTAAAGCTTTTGTATTTCGTTGTAGTTTCACTTGCGGCTTCAAAAGATCCGTGATTTTACGAAGGATGTGTGGGCGGACGGCTGAATTTTGTGTGTACGTTCTTGGAATAGACGGGCTCCCTATATATGTGAACTCCTGATTGCCGAGTTGTTCGTCTAGGTTTCAACTTTCACGGATTGCTTCCAAAAAAAGAAGCAAAGAGACAAACTGGGTGGCGCCCTAACGCTGTACCGCGTTATCTCGCCGACGAGCGCTGTTCTAGGGTCTGAAACAAGTTTGCAATGAATACAAACAAATTCTTGTACTTCCCCCCCTCCTTCAAAATTGTTCTCACCAAAATTTTGAGAAGACATCCTTTTGAAATAACATTTTTCTTTCAGCTACAGCGCAAAGGTATTGCTTGAACTCTTACAAGCATGTCTGTATACCGATACTATGTAAGGTTAACTTTTATGAAAATGACCTAAAAATCTTCTTTTTTTCACCGAAGCTTGAAACAGAATTGCATTAAAAAAAATGCTGATTCAGCATTTTTTGTTACTAATATCAGTTGATTTTTATTTGTGGGGCAAGGTTTTTGCCAGACCCATTCCTGCTATGATAGTGGAAGGTCTTATTAAACATTGCCAGGACGTCATTTTTGGCGAGTCAGAACTTGAATTCCCAACTAACTTTGTGTAGGTCTACATATACACATCTGTATTCTACATTACAGTGCAGTACAATTCTTGCAGGTGTAGCCAGGCCTGACATCATGGCAGGCATTATTAAGTTTTTTTCGATGAGGTACTGAAAGAAAATCCATTGTTTATGCCTGTTTCGCATCCATGCGTGTAGAAAAAAGGGGGAAAACATGTTAGCCTACATATTGCACGAGAAAATGCATTACAAAATATTGCTGAATCAGCATGACTCAGCACTATTGAAATGATGGCTCCCATAGCCCTCAAGGGCCAGATCTGCGATGCTCCAATATCCACATTTGTTGATATGATATTTGTCTATTTCTGTACCACATTTGGCACTGTTATCATAAAATGCACAAAAGGTTTGCTATGCCACCCACTATACAGCTGTTTTGAGTGAGGGGTAGGGGAAGCAAAAATTGCCATAGCGAGCCCAATTTTCAAGACAGAAAGCTTATCTACCACTCAAATTAAAGCTTGTGGTCTCAGGCAGTTTTTAAATTATAAAAAAGTGTGTATCTTTGGAATAAGTGTGAGTTTAAAACTCATTTCTGCCCCCAAACAGGGCAAAGTCACAGGATTTGAGGGGGGGGGGGGGGGGTGTCCGCAAAGCAGTATATGCCCTGGGAACACGAATACAGATACACTTGGGACCAACAATATTTTTTTTTGTTTACCCATCCTATCATGATGGTAAAAAGTGCAAACAAGTCACGACGGGACCATTTTTGAGAGAGCAGAGGCCCAAAATATGATTTTAGCCGTTTCTCAAAAAACAAGCTCCCAAAATATCAGTTTTTTGGAGCTGGAAGGCAAAAATACCGGCTGTGCAACTAAATTTCGGATGTCCCAAGGTACCCTACAACAGAAAATAATATTAAGATTAATCAGAAAATTTTGCGATTAAATGGCCCTATCCCAGGGACTATTGCCAATACATGTAATTTTTGTGGGTTTTTTTTTCAAATGAGTGGAAACATGCTCGTTTAATGGGGCTTCATTGTTCTGTTAATTTAATTTGCTTTTTAAGTGGGAAAAACAAAACATTCATCTTTCTTTCTGACTCACGCTGTTTAACCTTAATCATGCTTGCTGATGACTCCTTGTGAACAATTTCAGTGTGAAATTTAGTCCGAAATTGAAAAACCATAGGCGTAGCCAGCGGGGGAGTAAGGGGTTATTCCCCCCCCCATGCCCAATAGTTTGTAAAGACTGCCCTTTTCCATTCAAATGTCCTTTTTTTTCACCAGCGCTTATTACCCCCCCCCAATATTTTGTAAAGAGTGCCTTTTTTAAAGAAGTGCCCTTTTTTTCTGAACAAGTGCCCTTTTTAAAAAGATGTGCCCGTGTCATCTGCCGTTCTGGGTGAATTCCACGCATGTATCGCCCTGAAAAGCACCATACCTTGTTCGTCAGTGTGCATAATCGTCGGTTTTGAACAGCGCCCCCCCCCCCCCCCCTCGACAGATGGTCACCAGCCCCGGCCCCCTCCTTTTTTTTTTTAATTTTACGGAGGCCAAGTGTCCGGAGAAAAAAAACGGGTCTAATGATTGACAGGGGATTTTAATTGATAATAATTTGCAGTGTAACTTAATTGACATTCCTCATTAATTGTAGCCAAAATCAGACATTATTTACTCCAGAAATGCCAAAAAACCATGTCAAAACCCATTCACGGTTTCACGTGTAAAGGGGACACCAAATTAATGTTCTGCTATTTTTGTGATAATTCATGTTCAATAAGGCGTATTTATTTTAAAATGTACTTTTTTTTGTCTAACCCAGGATAACATATCATTGTTTATCGTGAAAATAAATTGATTAAACTAAAAAAAATTGCGCATTGGGGACACCATGACTTCGTGTCCCATTTACGCGTGACCTAGTAAAAAGACCAAAATTAAAACGTCAAAAAGCATGCAATCATTGTTATGATTTTACACTTATCAAGTGGGACATGTAATTAATGGTGATGCATTTGGATATGCCAGTGAACCCAATAATCTTGTTATTTCGCAGAAACATTACTTACATTTCCGTGAAAAGGGGACACCAAAAAGTGAGTCTTGTCTAAACATGAACATTTTGAAAATGTGAAAAATTATTATTAAATCATAATAGTGTCATTCTTAAATTAACTTGCTTTAATCTAATGAAGGGCATTTCCCCCCATACACATGCATGGTAGCATTTGATTGAATATGAACCAGACAAGTTAAACAACACTTGTTTAATGTCACAGCTTTGGTGTCCCTTTTACACGTAAAACTGTAAACTATTTAGGACACGCACTGTGCCTAGGGCCTATATACGAAAAGTTCGGGGGCCTCCGAAAAATACGGGGGCCTACGAAAATACCGCAGTATACCATAAAACATTATATAGGCCTACCCACACCACACCCACGCGCACAGAAAAGTTGAATAGAAAGTTATATTATAGGGTCTCTCTAGAATTTTCGATTTCATCGATCGATGGGGGGGGGGGACATGTCGCTCCCCCTGACTATTTTCGTCCCTAAATAAATAATTGTAGCCTACATTTAATTTTGTAGCTCAGAAAAGCTGATTCAATGACTCCAAACTCGAAAATGATGTTTAAATGCGGTTCTTTTGTTTAAACCTTGTCAGAAATTTCCTCAGATCATGCACCTCAGAGCGTCTAGAATCCAGTTTTTTCCGGGGCCCCTAAGCGGGCCCCGAACCCCACGTCGTTTAGGCTCGAATTAGTTCTCATCAGGATAAACATGTTTGTACCCCCCCCCCCCCCCACACACACACTTTTGAGAGCTAGGACCTATACCAGTTTGGCCTAGCTGGCTTGATTTGTACAGCTAGTGCTTTGTGCGCTGAATTTGGTGCCGTGTGGCTAGGGCGGAGTAGGGCCTACGGAACACTGGTGCCTAGTGCCTACGAAACACTTAATCCGGGCCTGAGGACACCATACTGTCAGGAAATTAGTTAGATGTTTTATCCTTTACTACCAAATATTGAGGTACAAGTACGCCTTGTACTATAATTTGATGTGCAAGTGCCCTTTTTCAAGAACTCTTTACACCCCCCCCCCCATAACAGTGATGACACGCCACTGCGGCTTGATGAAATGACACCTCCTGTGATTTGTTTGTAAACCTTTGCTTTAGCATCAACAATATGGAATAGACCTGAGACTTAATGACGTAATGGCTTTGTTTTACATATATATATATATGGACGTCTCGTATGGACCTTATTCACAAGAAAGCCATTTTGGTCGGGTTCCCTGAATGAATTTTATTAATTATTGTGAACCTTGAATGGGATGGTGCCAGACTATTTATACATTCTAGCCTCACTTTCATTTTTTGTGTGGCTTAAAACATTAGAGTATGTTTAATCACAAATGTATAATCATTCATCAGAGCAGACTGATTTCAATTTGTAATTAACTTGATTTCATTGCTTTCATTTCTCTTCGCAAGTTCCAAAAATGAAGCTTTAACCTTACTTTAAATTGAATATGACCGACTCGTGAATAAGGCCCCATGCGCCAAAATCTCGGCTAATGCCAGTGACTGTCGAAATGGCAGAACCACGGAGAGGAAAGACACACCAATTTTCATCTGAAAACATCCTGTTCAAGTTATTTTGCTAGATTAAGTGAAATACATGCCACCGGATGAAATTAAATGAGTTTATATTTATTTTATTCACCATATTTTTGTGATAAAAATTCGACATCTCCAAGAAAATGTCGTTTTAGATCGTTGTTTGCTTTCCATCTCCATGTAATTATCGGAAAAGGGCCAACTTAAGTTGGGATTTTTGTACTGTTCTCCAGTTTCCCCAGACATGTCACCTATCGCAGCATTGGAATGAGATATCATAAAAAAAAAACATTATGACAGGATTTACGAGTTATTGCGAATAGGTTTGCGCTCCTTAGGTTGGTCTTTTTTTCCGACCGTACGTTTACATGTACAAACCGCGCACCGTCACTGATGTCACCCGTACCGTACCGTACCGTACCGTGCACGGCCGGACGGCCATAGCGGCCCAGGCAGCTTACTATGCGGAAAATCACGCTGCGCTATATTGGTCAGCGGGGGAAAAAAACGTATACACGTCGGCGGGTACGTCCTTCTTTCTTGAAGTCATATACGCAATACCTCGAAAATGATATCATTATTTTTTATTATTTATCTAGATGGAAATGTCTTTAATTTGTTCAGAAAAATCAGAGATATATTTTTAAACATGGATTGATTCACGCAGGGTTTGAAGAATTTTCGGGGAAAAGATTTGTTCTCTCTCTTAAAATGTCTTCTTTTTTTCAGAACAATTTTTATATTTGAAAATCTCAGCTCGTAACATGATTGTAAAATTCATATTAAATTTTCTCAGAAATGTTCATGAGTTTAGGTCGTCTGTAACTTTGGAAATTATGCGATATTGTTTTTGGCTGATTATGGGAATGGCGCCATCTGTCGTCTATACGATTTCAGAATCTTTTGGTCCTGTATATGTACTGTACGCGGAAAAAAACACGATCCGATGTTTAGTTCAACTCGCCCCTTACCAACTCGCCCCTTACCAACTCGTCCCTTACAGCCTGCCCCTTACCAACTCGCCCCCTGACCTACTTGCCCCTTTTGACCTTACCGTAACGAACTCCCAGGCCCTGCCAACTCGCACCCCTCCTTTGCCTCCTCGCCAAGTCGCCCCCTGGCCAACTCGCCCCGCCTCTTAAACAGCCTCGCAAGAATAATTATTCGAGGTAAAACGTCAGCGGACTTTCATTAATTCGGTAATTGATATTGCAACTAAACTTCCATTTTATTATGATTCCAACTATGGAGTCACGCAGTAGGCTATAATCTCCAGTGCCGTCCAAATTTGACTTTTTGCATTAATACATTTCTAACTTATATATTTTATTCCCGACAAAAAACTCTCATTTTTCTTTCATGGACATCTGCAACCCTTTTCAGAAAAAAAACCCAATTGTTTTAGGCACAACGTTATTGAACCAGCCGGCCGGAGACGGTCCGCTTCGCGAGCTCAAATATTCGATGGTCACGGTAATTATCGATACTGATTGTGCAGTGGCGAAGCCAGCGGGGCGGGGGGGGGGGGATAAGGGTGGTATCATCCCCCTATGAGTATCCTTTATTGCAAGTGCCCTCTTTTCACAAGGGTGCTCGTGAAAAATAGTGCTCGTGAAAAAAAAAATGGTGCTAAACTGGCGCTCGTGAAAAAGGGCACTCATGAACGAAATGGCGCTTGTGAAAAAGGGCGCTCGTGAAAAGTGGTGCTCGTGAAAAATGGCGCTCATGAAAAAGGGCGCTCGTGAAAAAGGGCGCTCATGAAAGAAAGGACGCTCATGAAAAAAAGGAGCTCATGAACAAAATGGTGTTCGTGAAAAATGGTGCTCGACTGCTCGTGAAAAATGGCGCGCTCGTGAAAAATGGCGCTCGTGAAAAATGGCGCTCGTGAAAAAAAGGCGCTCGTGAAAAAGGGCGCTCGTGAAAAAGGGCGCTTGTGAAAGAAAGGACGCTCGTGAAAAAAAAGCGCCGTCAAAAAAGGCGCTCGTGAAAACAAGGGCACTCGTGAATAAAAGGCGCTCATAAAGAAAGGACGCCCCGTGGGAAGATGGTGTCCACCCCCCTCCTCCCACCCCCATTGTGATTTTACGGAGGCCAGGTGACCAGTGACAACATTATTTATCTATGAATGTACTTTCAGCGCTGCAGCACGGATGAAGGAGTACCCTTTTGCACGTCTGCCCGTCCCCCGCCCGCATACTAAAGGACTTTGCTACGCCCCTGTTGTGGGGTGGGAATCCTAGCCAATTGTTCATTATTTTACAATGATTGAGCAACTAACATGGAACAATTTGTTTTGGTCTATTTATCATTCAAAAGTGAATAACAGACTTTTGTATTAATTTTCATAAACAGAAGACCTACCGGTATATAAAATTAATTGTTTGACATGCTTAACACCCCCAGTAGCTTTATATATAACAGAAAAAAAATACATACCTTTCGATTCAGTTCTCGCTCCTCGAAAGCTCCTCGAAGTCGCAAAAGTTTAATTATTTTTCCAAGTTGTCCTTTCTAAAACCACGGCAAGCTATAGCCTACATTGCGTCATCACTCGGCTTCGGAAGACACCAAACTACCGCCAATTGCTTCTTCTTTTTCAACATAAGTTTTGCGTCATCACTCGGCTTCTGGAAGACACTAAACTACCGCCAATTGCTTCTTTTTTTTCAACATAAGTTTTGCGTCATCACTCGGCTTCGGAAGACACCAAACTACCGCCAATTGCTTCTGCTTTTTCAACATAAGTTTTGAAACTAAAGAACACAATATTATATTCTTTTTTTTATATGGTGAACTTTATTTTCAGTTTTCATTTCAAAACCGTAGGGAGAAGTTTTAGTTTGAAGTTTTGTTTGATGAAAAAAAATGCTAGGGCTGGCAAGTTTGCCAGGGCCTGGGGCGGGGCGAGTTGGAAAGGGGCGAGTTGGAAAGGGGGGCGAGTTGGTATGGGTGAGTTGGCATGGGGCGAGTTGGTAAGGAGCGAGTTGGTAAGGGGCGAGTTGACCAGGGGGCAGGGGCGAGTTGACTTAACACGATCGATGGTCACGATGGTTAACGGGGCTTTCCAACATCCTCCTTTTTCGTTTTCTGTCTTTTTACGTTCTGATGAATTATTATTATAACAACTTTGTAAGCAGTGTAAGGAGAACGTGGAACTTCTGGTCTCTTTTGCAGCCACAAAAGGTAAGGGGAAGTGTGTTGTTCTGAGTCTTATCGTAAACAAATTCGCTCGGACGATGTTTGGTTAGTAGTGCAGATTTTGATCGAGTAAGACGTCTATTTCCGACACCAAGCAAAATCCAAACTTTGGAGTTCCAGAATGTTGTCAGTGCTTGCTTGACATATGATTTGATGGGGAGAATTCCATACATGGCCAGAAGTAATTGTAGTCCCATAAATGTGACTGAAATACTGGACTACCTCTGTAGGCCTAGTCCCACTAGCCCGACTGCGTCTTGCCGTACAGTACTATCGCAAGCTCTGTAGTACGGCCAGACGCTGAATGCTTCCAAAAAGACTGAATTTTTTTGGCCGCTGATGTAGCGATTTTGCTACATCTTTTGATCGAGATTATCTTTTCATCCAGGACAAAAATTTCCACAGTTAAGGTTCTTAGTCGTAGAGCAACTCATACCTTTTCGAAAAAAACGTTCTTTGGTCTCAATATTTTCATCCATCTGGCCAAAAGACGACTTTCAGTCATCATCTTCCACAAATATCGTCCCAAAAAATGCTCCCCCATGCGATTTCAAAATGGCGACCGCGCTGTAACTCATGAATATGCATAAACAGTCTGTGACGTATGACCTCGTGTTTTTGGACGTGCGTGCGGCGGCGCCGTACGTACATGTACGCGTATGTACATTACTTGTAGACAACAGCCCAGTACGTGCATGCACACGTACGTCCGCGCGGCGGTGTGCATGCACGTACTGGGCTGTTGTCTACAAGTAATGTACATGTACACATGTACGTACGGCCCTGCCGCAAGCACGTCCAAAAACACGAGGTCATACGTCACAGACTGTTTATGCATATTCATGATTACAGCGCGGCCGCCATTTTGAAATCGCATGGGGAAGCATTTTCGGGACGATATTTGTGGAAGATGGTGACTGAAAGTCGTCTTTTGGCCAGATGGATGAAAATATTGAGACCAAAGAACGTTTTTTCGAAAAGGTATGAGTTGCTCTACGACTAAGAACCTTAACTGTGGAAATTTTTGTCCTGGATGAAAAGACAATCTCGATCAAAAGATGTAGCAAAATCGCTACATCAGCGGCCAAAAAAATTCAGTCTTTTTGGAAGCATTCAGCATCTGGCCGTACTACAGAGCTTGCGATAGTACTGTACGGCCAGACGCAGTCGGGCTATAGTCCCACTAACTGTAGCAATGTTGATGTTAGAGGTAGTAGGTACCGCGATATTGACATTTCCTATTCTGGTGACACACAAAACTGAAGTTTTTCAAATGAATGTTACTGTGTCCCTTCAAGCTATTTCAGCTTCAAATCACTCCTACAGAGCGTGTTTTTCAGAACGGCCGTCTTGAGCGCGGCCATTTTGACACTAAGTTTGGCATTTTCATGCCTCGAAAATGGGTTACCATTTTTGATTAATACTGCCCTCTCTTGACTTCCAAATCAATTAATACTGCCATCTATTGACCAGATAGGATAGGACAATCTGCCGATGCTTTTTGTTTCGTTTCAAACGGTCAAGAAATAAGGTTTTAACTTAATTTTTGCCAATCTTTGCCAAATTTTGATCAAATTTGCCACTTTTTTTCACAATTTAGATATACAGAACATGGGGGGGATTCCTGTAAACCTATATCACTAAATTCATTGGTCCTTTCTGAGTAAGAATATCTTGATTTTGTTCCTGCGTTTGATTGCGGTCTGTAGAATGTATTTGTTTAAAAGTCTAATGACATCGATGATATGTCGAATCTCCGTGCTGATGTTTGGCCAGCCCTTGACGCAGTTGATGATGATGCGCTGTCATGTTTGCACCAGTAACTCATTGTTTTTTACGAATGAAACTGGTACAAACGTCCATTCATGACCAACTGAACAAATGTATTTCAGTTGATTTCAAAATTATTGTTTTAATTTAATAATAATAAAAAAATCATCATGTTATGTATTAACATGATTAACCCTTACCCTACTTGACCCTCCAACGCATGCCAATATGTGCCTCAAGAAAATCTCCTATGTTTTTTGCATGGCCCTCCAATATCTGCCATGTCATTTCAAGGGTAACTGGACAGGCACTCCAATACATGCCACAGAGAACAATGAGAGTCCTCTGATAAGAAAGTGAGTGCCCCCAGCTGGTCAGTATCAGGCACCCTCCAGGGCCTCCAACTCCTGCCAATTGGAGCCTTCACTGTCAAGATAGTTTATCTGCCAATATACTGCAGCTGGAGGGCATTGGCATAACCAACTGACATGCAGTAAACTACCCTCAGAGAGTAAGGGTTAAAGGATTAATTTAATTACATCAGCAATAATAATGCATTTCCATTTGCTGCCAAAACTTGACTTGTAACCTTCGATGGGGGAGGGCGAGGGGTGGTAAGTGTGCAGTCAGACATAATTCTGGTGGAGGCAGATTTTTTTCCAAAGCCCATTGTAGCCAGGGCAGGGAATATCAACAATTTTTCAATTATTGGAGTAAAGGAAAATGTCTTAAAAGGTGTGTCAATATTCCCTGTTTATTTTACACATAAATTAGTCTTTCTGGATTCATGCTTCATCACAAAAGGTCATGAGTGGATCTCCACAAGCTGCAGGAAGATCTTCAAAAAGGAGACCTAATCATTGAAGATCAATAAGGTTACATTAGTATAAATTACTCTTCCATATGCAGAAAAAGCGGGGGGGGGGGGGGGGGGGGGGGGGGGGGGGGCATAGGAATTGGGATGCTGATATAAGGGAATATCTGGAGGCATCACTTTCTCCTCAGTAGGTGCTGCTCCACCCTGGTTTATACAGAAATAACACACACAATCAAAATAGTTTCACGAGTAATAATGGTGTGTTTCGGAAGACGTAACTTCTGAACGGAAGCACCTATGACAATGACGTTTACACCATTAAATTTCTCTCATCAAGCGCTTTAATTTGATGTATAGTTTGACTATATTTGAACCAAAACTGAATAGTATGGTCGGTTCTAAATTAACAAATACATTAACTCGAATGACGACCAGAAGAGTTCCAGGACTATGGTGTTTTGGGAGGACATAACTTCTGAACGGAAGCACCTATGACAATGTTGTTTGCACCATTGAATTTCTCCCATCGAGAGCTTTAATTTGATGTATAGTTTGGCCATATTTAACAAAAAATTAAAAATCATGTATTAATGCTACTAACTGGGGCGCTAGAACTCCTGTTTTGACATTTGGGATGTTGGACTGTCGTACTAGCGTCCCACTACGGAACTGTTACAATTTCAAAGTTCACCACAAAAATCAAGCAAAATACTTGACAAAAATACCTTTGAAAGTACCTACTAGCATTTCCACATGCATGACATGTCAAAGACGAAGTAGCCTAATGCTTTAATGGGACTTCAATGATACTCACAAATATTTTTTGGGGTTAAAAATCAGTGAAATTCAATCACTATTGCACAGACATCATACAGCGATCATTCAAAAACGTTATGGCTTTTTTCTACTAACGCATTGTCTATGGTAGTATGGACGTACATCATGTACACATACAAACACGTACGTGAAGCAGGGGCCGGGACACGACCGTGACCAGTGCCGAAAAGCAAACTCCGCATGTAAATCGGGGGATGCGCCTACGACTGTTTCATGACAAGGCGCGGTACAAGAATACAGTTGAGATCATTATCAACCCCACATCCCGCATACCGCGATAATAGGGAGTCCACCTCGGTTTGCATACTCCGAGCATGTCTATTTTTACAGGCATCGTACACGGAATAAATCACACCACCGTCGGATTTGTATCAATTTGAAAAGGAAGAGTAACACAAAAGACAGGACAATTCGGGAAGCTTGGCGAGCAATCTCTATTCAGATCGGGAAACATGATTAGTACTGTCATAATAAAGCGTCCCATCCTACGTGTGATTATTTAACCCTAACCGCCCTGAATCCTTCAAAATCCTCTTTGCCAAAGTGGAGGAATTTGGAGGATTGAGGTTACATGTACATGTACATGGCAAAAGTGCGTTACTGATTTCGTAGGATGCACTTTGTCAAGGTCTTGGGCCGGACCTGGAGTTGTTTTTGCTCAGCCATGCATAAATATAGGCCTGGATAATGCTTGAAATCCTCCGTACTGCTCCAGGATGTCACTGGCCAAGCCTCAACAAATTGACAGTCACTGCCGCAGGATTTTGCAGGATTCAAGCAGTGGTCACCCCTCCACGGACCATATTCATGAAATAGTGGAGGAATTTGCAGGATTGAGGCTATGTGCTATTTTTCCATGAGGCCAATTGGAGGATTTTGCAGGATTGAGGCTACATCCTAGCAAAAAGGCCTAGGGAGTTAGGGTCAGTTATGGACATGTATTTTAAGAGAGTACATGTATGTGAGTATTGTGAAATTCAAATGAATCTTTTGCGGTTTTCTTGTTACATGTCACACCAGGTGTCCAGAAACGTCCGTGGGACCATGAGTTCACAAGAAATTGATCATGATGATGTACCAATGCCTCTTCTACAGAAGTTTAAATCCTCTGGTAATCCGCTGTTTGTTGTCAGAAAAAATAGAGGTAAGCTGACAGCTTGTTAATAGTTGAAGTGTTCTCACAACGCTATTTATCAAGTTTTACCCCCCAAAATAATATTTTTTTAATTGATATTTTCTACAAGCAATATTTTTTAATTGGGAGACAAACAGAAAGACCTACCCATGTTTAGTTTGCAAAGAAAAAGTTTATTTCTAAAGTCCCCCCCCCCCCCCCGCTTGAAATTATTGTGAAGTTACATATTTTTTTTACCACTCTCTCCCCAGTAAGTAATCTGAAGCAGTCAAGGACAATCTCTAGTCACCTTAAGGCCTGTTTTTATCTCAACTATTTTTTTTTTTACCAGAGGAGTACGTGCACAAGACATTGGAGGAGAAAGCCAAAGAGGCAAGGTGGAAACGCTCGGCAATCACCAGTCTAGATGACATACCCACCTGGCCCAATTACGCAACCCAGAATGAGCTGGAAAGACAGCCAGCAAAGAGTAAGATCACAAGCTCTAAGTTAAAGAAATTTGATATTTACCCTAACCATCCCAAATCCTCCAAAATCCTTTTTGCAATTAGGAGGAATTTGCAGGATTGAGGCTATATGCTATTTTTTCATGAGGCCAATTGGAGGATTTTGCAGATTGAGGCTACATCCTAGCAAAAAGGCCTAGGGAGTTAGGGTTAATTCAAACAAATCTAATACACAAATATTGAATGCTTCGAGTGGTGTTGTAAAACTAGCCTCCCTCGGTGATCCATGGACATTCTATTTTCCCGAGGCGAAGCCGAGGGAAAATAGAATGCTCCATGGATCACCGAGGGAGGCTAGTTTTACTTCACCACAAGATAAAAGCATTCAATATTTGTTTTATAACACTTCACCCACAGATTCTGCTTGATTTTAATATTTTAAATTATCTAAATCTGAACACAGTTGAAATAAACTTCAATTTCAATACAAAATTGGTGGAAAATGTATTTCTCTCTTCCAAACTACCCCTTCACGAAATGTTTGAACCCAAGTCTGCGGCGCGCTCTCTTTGGAACAAAACGCACTACGCACAACGCGCACACCAGCATGCATTTGCGCACAAATACCACGCCGTGGATATAGTACTTTGGTTGCTAATGGTATAGTACTTTGGTTGCTAATGGTATAGTACTTTGGTTGCTACGGGTATAGTACTTTTGGTCGTGCACAGAAAGATAGCAAAAATAGAAATATCATGTGACTCGCTCTCGGCCAATCAAGACACAGAATCTGTGGGTGAATCTCTTGGATTAGCGAAAATGTGAGGCGTTCTGGCAAAAACGAGACGGAACTGGGCCCAGGCCATAGTGGAGAAAAATGCAAAAAAAAACCGAATAGTGATCAACTTTTTCTGATTTTCAGATTTATTGATATTGGAAGCTTTGATATGTCTACTACGCATATTTTAAAGAAATTGTATAAAAATTGCAGGATAAAAGTGTAAAGGAGCAACAAATTTGCATCTTTCCTTTTCATTTTGTTTTTTTGCTTGTATAGTTTTTTGTATCTGTATCAATGCATTTTTTTGTTTGTATCTTTAATTAATTTGTCAGCTTTTGTAAAGCGCTCCGATCTTTGTGGGGCGCTTTAAAAATGCCTATATGTATGTATGTATGTATGAATACAAAACTTGAAATTTTAAAGGCATTTTTCTCAGTGTTTTTCTAACACGTCGATGCAAATTTTAAACAATCATAACTTGTCAACACAATATCCGATTGAAGTGCAACAAACAGTATTGTAAGAAGTATTTTATTCTCTTTCCTAATACCCACAAACCCTCATTTCGACCTCTGCCCAGTTCTGTTTCATTTTGCCTCAACACCTGCCTCAACACCTCCCAAGTGCTGTTTCCTACTTTGTGTGAATGCGAAATGATTTCATTCATAGAATAAGAAATCAGTCTCGATACTTTCACAGCCAGATTTGCCAGAATTGAAATGAGTTAATTTTTGTGTGGAATTCACAGTGAGAATATTCGATATCGTTTCGGTTTGCCGTAACACCATGTGGTAATAACTACTGCTTAGAAGATATTTAGTTCTGAAAAGAACTTGTCCTGCTTATTATCAACTTTTGCTAAGTATAAGATTTGAGACTTTGCATGCTGGAGTATCGGTATCGTTTCGGTTTGCGGTAACACCATGTGGTAATAACTACTGCTTAGGGAATATTGGACATGATTTATTTCACAAATTTGCGTTCACATTTGCTGTTGTGTGAGTATTGACTGGCCTTCAATAGGGGAGGCCTGTGTAAGATTAAGATTAAGATCAATTTATTCAGCCAATGATTAAAAAACAATCACGGAATTCGTAATGTTGGACTCTCAATTTACAATACCATACAATTAACGCAATAACCACAAAAAATTAGTGCAATAAAAATAAACATACAATTACGTGTACGCGATGGCAGTGACATACTTTGACCCTAACGATCCCCAAACAGCCAAACTCCAACACCAGGGTTTGTTGGATTTTGTTAGGATGCGTACTGCACTAGTAAAGTGACTGTGCTTTACCATTGATTAGGCATACCACAAATAAACAGAGTCCAAATTCGTCTAGTACAGCAGATTGGTGATAAGATTGCTCATTGATGATAAAGGCATGAAATTTTGCACACAGTCAGAGTATGTCATGGGGAAGATATTTGGCTATAGGGCCAACACAGATTTGTCTTTTGTAAAAAAATATCATAGGATAACAAGCAATTTTCTCTGTGTGCCAAATTTCATGCTTTTACATGTATCATCAAATGAACAATTCCATCATATTGTGCACCAATCTGCCTGACTCCAGTTTGTTTCTAAAATAGGAACTACAGATTATTGACACGTTTATATTCAACAGTTTATCTGTCTTCAATCATAATGTCTCCTACATGTGTTTACATTCTTATTTGGATCCTAGTTCTCTGCTTTTCCCATCACCCGTCTTCGCTTCCCTATTTACTCAAATAAGTTTTCCCTTATTGGAAAGTGTGTGTATAATATAAATCAACAGGAGATAAGTAATTTCCTTCATTGTGAAAGCAAAATTGTCGCATACACCGACTCATGCAATATACCATGTATACCAGCAGAAACACCAACTTTGATAAAACCCTGTCCAGTTTCCTCCTTGAGCCGATAAACAAACCAGTGTCTTTTGTGCTTCACAACATGTAACTGATGAAAACTCTGCCTTGTTAATGCAGTTGTTCATGTACATATTTTAATCAGACAAAAAAAAAAGACTATATATATGAGACATCTTTCATTTTCACTCATGGCTAACAGTAAAAAAACAACAACCCAAGACCACAGATACAGTTTTGATGCCCCTGGCTGTAAAGAATGCAAAAAAAAGAAAGAAAGTTTATATGTTTATAAAAGTGAAATTCATCGAGTAATTTGTTGGTCGGCGAGCGCATAATTGAAATCAACAGTCGTCGGGCTCTTCGTAAAATCAGAAAAAGCGTGACGTAATAAACAGGACTCGTTTATACAACGACTGTTTACTGCTACCCAACCCGCCCCAGCATGCAGCACGTGTGACTCGCAGTCAAGCAGTGAAAAATCAACATTTTGTAAAAGACTCACAGAGATTGATATTCCTTCCCATTGCTTAATTTTTGGATGAGTATATTGAACAAGGACACGGTGACCTCTGAGCTGTTCTTCCGTATAAATTTGAGCCCCAACTGCCCGAAAAAGAGACCAGCGAAAACACGGATACTGCAACTGGCCAGCTGAAAACGCCAGGCAACGCGACTCTGATGAGTGCAGTGGTAGGTCTGCGACGTTTGCGTGAAAAAACTCAGCTGCATTTTATCCAAGGACTCAAAGTATTATGTTCATGATAACATTTTTAGATGAGCATCAACAGTCCTACCGCAACTTTCTTCATGATTTACAGACAATCTCAAACGTTATTCTGGTGAATACTTAGTACAAAGAGACGACAAATTGTCAGGTTGTTTTCGAATTATACGCGTAAGGCACGCATAACGCATCACGGCAGTGGATGTGGTCGACCGTGTCCAGAACTAATGTTGTACGGTTAGCAGCGTCGCGGGCCTCGGTCAAGTTCCTTGCGTTGCCTGGTGCTTTTTATGTATACGTTCGCCACAAAAAAAATAGTCCTCTTCTCTTTTCTTTCCTTGTGCATTTCAACCCTTGTTTTAACATCCTGAAACGATAATTACGAATTTATTTGAATTTTGAAATTGTTAACTTTATTGTTTACCCAAAAAAAGCCGTAAAACAACGCCAGGAGACCATGGGACTACCGCTTCACCTCGGCCTGTAAACGTGGCTACAAAAAAAAAGTACAATTCATAAATCATAGTCATGCATGCTCCGTTCATAAGACAAAAATCTCTGGACTTACGACATGTTCGGGATCCCGATTGAAAACAAAATTCACTGGTCCCGAAATTTAACGAGCTCTATCATTATTTTCAGTACCTAATTAAGACTTTATTCAAGAAATTCCATTGGCAGAGAATTTGTCATTCGATCAAAAGAAGTTCTAGGGAAAATGGAGGCCTGTCACATTAATCAGCACTAACATAAGGAAAACTACGCGGTCCTTTTTCTACGCATTTACCTTCAATTTGTGTGTGACAACGCGTGTGCGTATGCTGCGCAGATAATGGAGGGTCGAGGATACATTTGAACGGGTCTACGGTTCTTCAAGATTGGCAATGGACAAATGGTCCAAAACAGTCTTCCCTATAAATCATTAACAAATCATATCTCTATTATTTCTTGTCCAATTTCACAAATCTCTTGAGAAAAGAAGACTCTTGCCGTACAAAATGTACAGTGCATGATCAGCGCTCTATCCGTTAATTTGGCTGAAATCTGATCTTGTGTTTTCGCACGGTACCCTTCGGACAAACTGCATGGCTACGGAGGATTTTTATTCCTCCATGCTGACACCCACCCGGACGGGAATGGTGGAAATTTATTGCAAACAAAAATAATGGTGTGATTACAGCCAGCAACTGACACAATTATAGGCATATAGGTTTGCCTTGGCCTAGTGCGTTTGCTACCTGTACACGTATCAACAACAAATTATTTTGAAATTCCAACACCGTTTACCGGTGTCAAAATCTACGGTCCCAGCGGCCGGGCCAGCGGCACAAGTACACCCGTGAATTTCCAGCCAGCTTTACATATGAATATGCGATTGCGATGTGCATGTGAACGATCGAACGCTGTTGATGTAACGCAGACATTTCTTACTATGGTTGGCCGTTGGGCAAACACAAAAGAATGATCCCCGATCTATAAATAAAATGATGTGTAACTATCGAAACACTGAATAATCAATAGAAAGTACTAAAAAGTCAATGGAGATATCTTCCTATTAAATTCTGAACTTGCCCATAAGAATTTCGGGGGTAAAAGCTGTTGCCAACAACGGTTGAATTTATGGAGCATGTGGCTGCCCATACAAAATGTCACTCAGTGTAATTGTAAACAAAGTCATGTCGTTGCGCGGAGTGATTTGCAAACAGTTTCACTGGAACTACGCTGCATCGGGAGTCCTGTTTATTACGTCACGATTTACTATGTTTTGTTTGCTGCCCCCCAACGACGACTTTTACACAAATTGCACATTCGGGCCAAAAGAGGACCTGAAAAACAGCTCTCAAAAGTACCCTTAGTCGTTTTTATTTCATCACACCCTAGGCTACATATACCCGAAAAATGACGGAAATGTCTTCGAGCATTCCACAACCTCTTTAACAGAGAAATTCATTTCTTATCATTGTTTTGTATTGACTTCCTTGTCTTATTCTGCAGAGTCCAAGGGACTCAGCCTTGGGAGTAAGCTGTCCATATGGCAGGGAGATATTACCAAGCTGGATGTGGATGCCATAGTGAACGCCGCAAACAGGTCCCTTCTGGGTGGCGGTGGAGGTTAGTTCTGAATGAAACAATCCTTAATAACCCCACCATTATTTAACCACTTCGCGCTGGGATTATTTTTGCCGTAAATTTTGATTTCGGAAAAAGGCAAAATTTTCCAGCCAACTTGTGATATACAGCCAAACGCCACAACTGCTGATTCGCAAGAGTCATTTGAACAGTATTTGTACGATATTTTGTGCCAAAACCTCATATGTTTCAATACTCCGAGGTGTGCACTGGAGCGTAAATTGTCGGACAATAGGCCCATGCACGGCCAATTCAAGATCAACACACGGTCCGCCTCCACAGACTTTATGGACTTTGTGTGTGTGCGTACAACGGACACAAGGGATAAGCATGTTTAGACGTCACCCGGAAGTGAGTTAAGGCAATCTTGATGTTTTAACCCGTCAGCCGTGCCTGTGTATAAAAACAGCCAGTGCGTGTTATCACGTCCTCCGACGCAAACTGGTTAAGAGAAACGTGGGTTATGGTCATCAAACAGCATTATTTCAATGAAATCTGATTAGCATCATGGATCATTCAGATATTCCGAAGATATTCTGAAGACTCTGATGTAGTGTCAATGTCAGTGTTTAAATCAAATTAGGTTTTGCCCTTCACCGACGTTTAAACACTGTATACTCAGTGTGTTACCTCCTGAGTGAAAGTTGGAAAAAATCACTCGGGTGGGACTCGAACCCACGACCTCCTGCTTTCTAGTGCAGATGTCTTACCAGTCGACTACCGAGCTAACGGGATTGGCTGGTTCGAATCTGATGTACATAGCAACGGGTACCGCATAAACTATTATAAGATGGAGTTTTGCATCAGGGTGATATAAATCAAATTAGGTTTTGCCCTTCACCGATGTTTAAACACTGTATACTCAGTGTGTAACCTCCCGAGGGAAAGTTGGAAAAAAATCACTGGGGTGGGACTCGAACCCACGACCTCCTGCTTTCTAGTGCAGATGTCTTACCCCGACGCAAAATTCCATCTTATGTCAGTGCTGTAATCGAGTCTTGTGATGGACTTGTGGTGAGCCTAACAATGATTTTGTACCAATGTCGAAAGACTCGAAACTGGAGAGGTCGCAGGCTTAGTCTGCCATGTGTCTCTTTTTTCGGAAGGGGGAGGGGGGAGGGAGAGATAAGATTTCACTATAATGCAATGTTTGTTTGTCTTTCTCATAATTTCTTGCAAAACTACGAGACCTTCAATTAACATTCAATAAGCAATTATTAAAAATGTAAGACGGGGAAAAAAGCCTTACATCAATATGAATGGATTCAAAACAGAAACTTATTTATTCTGGGAGTTTGTCGTGTATACGGTGTACTTGGGGAAAAAAAGACTCATTTTCATGTTTGACTTTAGCCGTTTCTTTCTGTGTTTGAATAAACAGTTGACGGCGCTATACACAGAATGGCTGGGAATAAACTGCTGCAAGAATGCAAGATTTTAGATGGATGTGAGACTGGGGATGCTAAGATATCAGGAGGTAAGGTTCAAATCCTCCTGTCTCTTTTTCTCATCCTCATTTTCTTTCAGACTCCTGTCTTCTTCTTTTAAGTAACCCACAACCCTAGCCATCTGGGCATTTTTGCTAGGACCCTTCTTGTGCAAGACCCGTACTGGTGCAGTCTTTGGGGATCAAGTCCTTTGAACAAAAGTGGCCGGGGTGTAACATCCCTCAGAACCTCATTAAACTTCAATGAGAATAGAATAACCAGTAGAGAGTGTGAAGAAATCTCTGCACATTTCGTAGGTTTTGTCCCACTGAAGCGACAATGGACCGTCTCTCATCTTGAAAGGGTACATAGTGACCAACACTGATCAGCTTGCTCCAATATAATTCACAGTGTTGATTAAATTTGTGTTGATTCTGTTTACATATCTTGGTAAAAGTGCTCTGCCTTGTAGGAAACACACTCTCCTTTTTATAATTCCTCTTTTTTTCTTTTTTTCTTTTCAGGATATCTACTTCCAGCCAGATGTAAGTATGACTGTTGATGGAGGTGTTTGTGTGTTATTGTATTAAGTTGAATCCAGCAGGAGTTTTGAATAGCCTGTTTAACCAGCTCGTGCCGAAGGCCGTGTATACACGCAAAATTTGTGCGGTACACGCAAAATTTGTGTAGGAATTCGGAACGGATGACAGATATACATGCAGGGAGGGGGGCCAGAATTATCTGTCAGCGACCCGCTCGCAGCGAGTGAGGCCGGAAATATAAGTGTGCTGCCCGAGGGTGATGGCTTCAACCCGCCTGGCTTGAGGTCGAGTGAAAAGTAATACTGCGTTTCGTTCCGTTCTAGTCACAATAATCCTGGTGTGAACTGGTTAACATATTAGTCCTGAACCATTCGGTGTCAGCCTTGGCTGTTATTAATGTAAATTGTTACGTTTACCTGTTCAAAGGTGCAATTGTTCTTGCAGATGAAACGATTCCAATATCTGAAATTTGTGACCAGTTGCCAAGATAATTATGATGTTTGAAAAGAGAAGTCAATAAATAGTGATATGAAACAAATTGAAATTAACACGCTTTCAGACATTCACAACAACAAATTCATAGAAGCTAGGCTAAAAAAAAGTCTCCGGTTTCTGGTATGGAGCTTGCCCCAAAAGTAGTGCGGCGACGTGGCTGTTTTTTTTTTTTTTTACTAATTTTTCTTCAAATGTCGGCTAATGACTGCAAATGGTGCCCGACTAAATTTAGTGCAAAATGAATGGGATCCCAGAGAGGCCACATAAAGCTTATACTCGATCGTAACCCCATCTAAAAACACGTTAAAATTGTGTAGTAGCAGGATTCCAGTCAAACCAGTGAGTTTGGCGGTTTTGAGACGTCATCTTACATTGAAAAAAAATTCTAATTTTGCCGACGCATATGGCTACGGCGACGCGCGCGCAGACAAGAAACCGGAACCTTTTCTTTTTGGCCTAAGAAATCAACTCTTGAGTGTTGATGTATCAATTTTCTTTTATTTTTCTCAACAGATGTCATCCACACTGTCGGGCCCATTGTCCGTTCTTGCGGCAGAGGAGGTGTCCCTAAGGAGAGCAGACAGCTCCTGGAGAGCTGCTACAGGACCTGCCTGGAGAAGGCCCAGCGTCACAACAACAAGCAGAGACACAGGCTGGAGGAACAGGCTGAACTCAAGAAAGCGGCGGAAGCTGCTGCCGCTGAGAGTAGGGAGCAACAGAGAGAGGAAAGCCTAGTGGTTCAAGAGGGTCAAGAGGTTGCGAAACCGGAGACAAAGGATGCAAAGCAGGAGACAAAGGATGCAAAGCAGGAGATGGAGGATGCAAAGCAGGAGACGAAGGATGCAAAGCAGGAGACGAAGGATGCAAAGCAGGAGATGGAGGATGCAAAGCAGGAGATGGAGGATGCGGAAAGGAGTATGGAAGGAGGAACACACCTCAAGGAGGATGCAGGAGGTAGCATCTCAGATGACACTGATGGAAGGAAGGTCAGGAAGCACGGGAAGCACGAGCAGAAAGACGACGGAAAGGGAGACATAGAAGATGGCAATGGAACAAACTCAAAAGAAACTGAAACAGCCACTGAAACTAAGCTGGAACCTTGTCCAGGTGGAGATAAAGAACAAAGTGACGTATCAAGAGGGGAGAGTCAGTCAGACATCAGGAGCACGGGAGAGCCAAAAGCTGAGAAACTTCCCAAGAAGGAGAGTCAGTCAGACACCAGGAGTAAAGGAGAGTCAAAAACCGAGACTCATCTCAAGAAGGAGGCAGCAATAGTTAAACCGGAACCATTCATTCGATCCATTGCCTTCCCCTGCATATCAACTGGAATTTTTGGTAAGTTGACACTTTTGATTTTTTTTTTTAGGTTGAGTTTTTAAGACTTTTTTATTAAGACAAATTTTCAATTTACAAAATACCAAGGGTCAGGGATATGGAGAGAGTCATGTTACTTGTCTGATTGTTGTAACATTTTGTACATTGCTTTGAAAGGTGTGAATGGTGTGCCAAAGATGTGACCATTGTAACTTGTAAATATCATGTCCAAAAGTCATTGAGTGCATATCAGTATAAAAATGAAAGGAGTTATTTACAGTAAACATCAGTCATGAGCTTCTTTAACATTTGCTCTATCAACATAAAGTGAATCGGCAGCATTTATTTTCCAAAGCCTCTTTTTTTCTGAACTACATGTAATTTCTATAGGTTACCCTCAAGAAGATGCTGCCAGTGTCGTATTACAAACTGTCAGAACATGGTTGGAAAACAACGAGAAATGCGACGTAAGTGTCTCCCCCCCCCCCCCCCTGCCCTTGTTGGCTCAGAAGGAAACTATGCGTCAGTAATTGGGGGATAATAATTGGGTTGCTGGTTGGATTGAAAAGTGTTGGGTTGACATGGTTGCCTTCACGTACAGGTAGAAATATTACGAAATTGTAATGGGCAATTCCACGGTTACTCACGTTACATTTTTGATGTACTTTTGAGTTTCCTTGGGCTGTAATTACCTTACTGAAAAGGTTTAGTAACTGTTATTCCCATGGTAGATAGAGTAGACCTAGACCTACATGTACCTAAGCACCAAAGATGACATCCAGAAAAATGTGTTATGTGTGATAAACAAGATGCACAAAATCGGTTACTCACGTTACATTTTCGTAACGTGAGTAATCGATATTGTGCGTCTTGTTTATCATACATAACACATTTTTCTGGATGTAATCTTTGGTGCTTAGGTAGGTCTAGGTCTACTCTATCTACGATGGGGATAACAGTTAATAAACGTTTTCAGTAAGGTAATTACAGCCCAAGGAAACTCAAAAGTACATCAAAAATGTGACGTGAATAACCTTGGAATTGCCTCAATGCAAATGGAAAGGTTTTCATTAAAAACGCTAAAAAAAGATTGATATTGAATAAGAACAAACTGTGTCAGTTACCCTAAAGCCTGCTGAAAGTAGTGCCATCTAGTGGTGTGCATTAACAAGTAGTACGGGAACCAGGCACCCTATTGTAGTTAAACACAGGTATCCTGGTACCCGAAAAAGAACCCAACCCCTAGCTTTATAGCTTTACGGTGTAAACAGCAACTTTTTGCGAGCATCATCTGTCGCACGTTAAAATGCAAAATAATGTGAAATCCTATTTTAGTTTTCAATGTAGCCTGGTTTTCATTTTGAAAATTTCCCACAAATGGCATTCAAAACCTTTTGTTTTCATTGTCTGAGAAGTTACTTAGTAATTTGTAAGGTTGGTTATGGCTACCCGATCCCATAATCTGGAACCGGTTCCTGTCATCAGCGGTCGGGTACTCGGGTACCCGGTTCAGACGCACACCCCTAGTGCCATCGTGCATGCAGCATAATACAATAAACCATAGGAGAACATACTGTGGTTTTGTTACAACTATGTCTTTTTTCTGCATTGACAGATTGAGAGGATTGTCTTCTGCCTGTTTCTGGACGGTGACGTTGAGATCTACGAAGAGCAGCTGCCTACCTACTTCCCACTCAATGGTAACACCTCCAGTCTGTAAGGTTAGACTATTCTGTCACAGCCGACCCACAGAGGGTGCTGTGATGAAGGACAGAAAGAATAACCATGATCCAGGAGTCATTCCTTTAAAAAAAAAAAAAAAAAACATATTCAGAGTTCAGTGACAAAAAAAATATTTTGATTTCGTTTCTGTGGTTATAACTAAGTGACAGTCAATCAACGACGTACAAACACTGTATACTCAGTGTGTTACTTCCCGAGTGAAAGCTGGAAAAAAATCACTCGGGTGGGACTCGAACCAACGACCTCCTGCTTTCTAGTGCAGATGTCCTACCACTTGACCACCGAGCTAACGGGATTGGTTGGCTGGCTCGAATTTGATGTACATAGCAGCGGGTACCGCATCAACCATTCATAATACGGAATTCTGTTTGTTCTGTTTGGCAAAACCTAGTTTGATTTGCATCACCCTGACGCAAAATTCCATATTTCGAATGGTTGATGCAGTACCCGCTGCCATGTACATCAGATTCGAGCCAGCCAACTGATCCTGTTAGCTCGGTGGTCGAGTGATAGGACGTCTGCACTGGGAAGCAGGAGGTCGTGGGTTCGAGTCCCACCCAAGTGATTTTTTCCAGCTTTCACTCGGGAGGTAACACACTGAGTATACAGTGTTTAAACGTCGGTGAAGGGCAAAACCTAGTTTGATTTGCATCACCCCGACGCAGAATTCCATATTATGAATAAGTGACAGTCGTTCACAATGTAACAGATTAATAGAACTTGTATTAATTTTTTGTTTGTTTTGATTTTTGATTTACAGTTTTGTGTAGTTGTATAAAATCTGGCACACCAATCCTTTTCTCCATGCCCAGTTAATGCAGCAGACATTTTTATTTGAATTTGTATCCATCATGTTGGCCATGGATCCGACAGTAATCACATACGGAAGCCATCCAATATAACCTTTTCCTTATTTGTATCATACAGATCAAAGTGAACCCTGTGAATCAAGAGAGACAGAAAAGTCCCAAGAGACGCAAGTTTAGTTCCCCATCTAGCCCCTTGTCCACTCGATGGAAGAAAAGTTATAGGTTACTCTTGATGGTTCTTCTACAGAACCAACACATATACAGTAAACTCCGGCTAAACCGACATCGTACAGCTCAGTCGGCCGTCTGACTTAAGTCCATTTTGGGGGTCGTCTTATTGAATGACCAGTGCTGCAGTCAGTGCATGCGTGGTATATACCGGATCACGCACGCATTTAATTCGTTACTGTGCACGTACATATGTATCGTGGTCTCCACCATCAATAACCCAAACGTGATGATACAATTCGAGGATTAATTTGCTGGATTCAACTCAAGCATTAAGGAGACAATCCAGGGTAAATCGAAGCCAATTAGTGCAATGAATCATGTGTGCAAAAGACCATTCATGTAAGTCAGCAAAATGACGACTTACAGCAGATATCGGCATTCGCGTAAGTTGTCACGAATTCTCGGGTCCAAAGAGTGCCAACTTAGCTGGAGTTTAGAGTAATCATTTTATTGAGGAATGTTCAGAGATATGCTAGATCATAGGATTTTGTGTCTACCTGTTATACATTCCTTGGGCAAGTGACCTAGGCATGTCTTCGTTTACCCTTAACCCTAATCTTAGCAGTGAAAAAAAAGACCTTTTGTTTTAGTTACTATTGAGGATCTAGACTTGTAGATTAGCTTAGTGCACTCATTGTACACACTCTTCATTGCTAATGGTTTGTTGATACTGTGCTCTCAGTAATAATAATAATAATAATAATGTGGCGAGTAAGATTTGAGGCTTTGAATGGTGGAGATACTAAATAATGACAGGTTTGCAAAAACACCATGTGCGAATAATTTCTCAACTAAGAGAATGGTTCTGAAAAAAGGGACTAGAGGTATGAACTCGACGTTCCGGTCAGTATGCTCTGACCGTCTTCAGGAGAGTGCCTAAACTCTAAGAAAGTAAACACTTAAGTAGCAAAAGCGAAATCGGTGAAGTGTTGAGTTTATACCTCTGGTTCTTTTCAGAACCATTCTCTTGGTTGAGAAATTATTCGCACATGGTGTTTCCGCAAATCTTTCATTATTTAATAATGTGGAGCTTATGTAGCGCCTTATACCTAAGGTTTCAAAGCACTTTACAATTATTACTCCTATTCATCAGGTATGACACATTTTTTTGCAGCAGCAGCTCGAGATCCGCGCAATTTGGTCTTTACCTTCACGGATACCTATTTATACTCCAGTCTCCTGGGTGGAGAGAGGCAATTGTAGTAAAGTGTCTTGCCCAAGAAGACATCAAGAATGAGATCATTTTTTTTTTCTGCAGCAGCTCGAAATCAGTGCAATTTGGTCTCTACCTTGACAGGTACCCATTTATACTCCTGGGTGGAGAGAGACAATCATAGTAAAGTGTCTTGCCCAAGAACACAAGCACCATGTTGCCCATCAGGGTTTGAATCCACGTACCACAGCACGTGATTCAAACACCGTAACCATTGGACCACAGCGCCCCACACTTGTTATTATTTTCATGAAAATGCCAAGTGAGGTTAGTTCAGATTGTCCTGGGACCTATTAGCTGTTGAGTAATTATCTTGCATTAGTGGATCATGTTGATGGCCCTTATCTTCTGAGGGCTTTGCAAGGAGCAAGTTTGCATCAGGGGAGCCCAATCAAGACTTTCCTAGGTTTGACAAAGTCAGCTGTCTTTTGATTGACCAAGATTTAACTATTCTGACTTGGTAGATACTTTTATATCCAGCAGGTTCTTGGCAGAACATTCTTGGGGCAGGGTTAGGATTAAAGTTGATAAACAGGGAAAAATTCCAAACTTGTGATGCTGACCAATTTTCAGGCAGCCAAAATTTCCTGTACAGCCACTGTATAAAATTATAGAGGGCGCTGTTTGCCCATCAACAAAGACCATAAACAGCCACATTGTGATTGAGTCTGTAATCCAAGAGTAATGCAGAAATATTGTTTTTGTATAACGATATGAAATAACCAACGAAGAAATTCATCAAATTGCCAATTTTTATTTTCATTTGAAAGTTGTGTGAAATGCAATGTGAAGCCATTATTAACGGTTTCTACCAGTTTAAGCCATGCACATTGAGTCAGTAGTCTTAAGAATATTGCATACATAGATTGTTTTTGTGTCGAAATATGAAGTAGCCTACCAAAAAAAAGTTCATCAAAATTTACAGTTTTCATTTTTCTTTCCTTCAGTTCCCTGAAAAACACTGAAAAAATTGAGAATCTTGTTCATAACTCTTTCACAATTGCAAGAGAAGAGATGACAATTAAATCGGAAAATACGTAGTTCATTATCAGTGTGTAGATGTCAAAATTTTGTCCCCATTTTCCTTTTTTTCATAAGCAGCGCATAACTATAAATATTAGGCTTGGAAATAGTCTTTTCAGAGGTAATGAATGTTCTCTACTTTTTAAGCGCTTGGTTTTGAAGTATTTTCCTGTCACTGTACAAAGAGCCTGAACTTTTGACTTCCAAAGAACTTAATACAAATATCAGTCAGTGGACAACAGTCAAACATGCTTGTATGCATTGCATGGGATGTGTTACTTTAACTTCTACAGAATTATTGCTGTTTTTATCCTTGCAACATGAATCATTATGAGAGAGTCACACACTCTCACGAGAGCTTTTTTTTTCCAGTTTACTATTTGTTTTAAGAATTTGCGCAGCCAAATCATGTACATGTAGTTTTACATCATACAGAGAAGGCTTATTTGATCGAAGGCAGATGTGCATTAGTTTTAGGATTATTTTACACCAGAGGGCGTTTTGGTGTTATTCTCAGCAAAGACATAATAATAATTTGCTGCAACATTAGTTTCTTGCATTTGCCAGTGATCCATAGATATACAGAACCTGTAGTGGACTAATTTAAATTTGGGTTTTCTTTACTTATTGTAAAAACTGTAATTAAATGTATTTCAGCTCGTTGATGGAATAACGTATGTTAAACATAGAAAGAGCTGGATTTATGGAAGATGTGACATAAAAAAGGAGTATTGTAAGTGGTCACATGCCAAACCAGAAAACACAAGTTAGTTTTTTTTTCATTTCAGATCTATAATATATATCTAAATCCAATAAGGAAAAGTGGGGGTTTTTTTATAACAAAGAGCGCCATGTTGTATGCATAAATTTAAGCCGTGGTTGGCAGCAGATTTTGCAAAACATTGCTTATTAACACCCCTATTGTGTAAGAAAGAGGCATATATACTAAGTCTTTGGTAGCCTTTGTTAATTATTTTGTATTTGCAACAATCAAATGGTGTGTTTGAAAACATGAATAACTATTTTGTGTTTTTGCAATGTTGACCTTGCATAGTTTGCCAACCCATGATTGGCAATAAGAGCCAACCACGAATTTGTCAAGAAAGGTATAGCTTCATGCATGGGCGGCGCCAGCATTTTTTTCTGGGGGGGGGGGAACAAATTTTTTCCCCGGGCAAAAATCTCTCAACTTTTTCAACATATTCTCAATTTATCATTTTTCCGAGCGTGGGCGGGGGAACATATGCCCCCCCCCATCAAATTAACAGAAATATGCTTCGCATCTCTCCCCCCCCCTTTTTTCGTTTTACATGAGGGGGGGGGGGGGGGCAAGCGTCCCCCCCCCCCTTGCTCTCCCCCCTCGCGACGCCAATGGCTTCATGACGTCACATCTTCTCGAGTACATCAGATCAAAGGAACTGGACTATGAGATAAAATCTCGATCTCTTCATATAGTTTTTGAATTTTAAGCTCGACATTAATATACATGTATGTTATGGATGAACAGAAAAATCCCATAGATATGTGTATATCATAATGTGTTTTTGTGAATATGCCTTCAAGATGTTATTATTCCAAAAAAAGTCTTTAATTTTATGCATTAATGCATAGTGATGTGGTATTTATTGAATTCCATCAATAGGATGTGTACAAACACAATTGTCCGTAAAATAAACAGAGGACTCAAAGAGTTATATTAATCATGATTTTTTTGCTTGCTTTGGATAATGACAGTAAGTTTAATGATACTCGATATCCAACTTTATGAGAATAATAATAAACAGTGAAAGATGCTATAGTTGTTGCTCTCTCTTTTTTTTGGGGGGAGGTGGTTAAAATCGTAAAAGATCTAGCCTTTATCCAAAAACCGAACATGATGGACTTCAACTTTTCTAAAATGTTGAAAAGACAAATTATCCACAAAGCTAAAACTTATACATGTACATGGGATTTTAAGTATGACATACGGAAGTAGGGGAAAAGTAAGAATATGCAAATCTAGTGTATTAAAGCTCCTAGAGTTTACAAAATTCCACTCGATTCGAATGCATACCGGTATCTTCACTGAAAGTCTTTTTTAGCCTCTCGTCTACACGAGTCGGATTTGGCCCATTCATCTGCGTTATTGGGTAATCCTACACGTTAACACTGCCCGGTTGTCTTCACTGTAGTTTGTCCAAGTAACAAGAGACAGTCGATGAATCAGTGAGATAGGTACAACGAACACACTAGGCTGGCACCTTGTGACTTTTGAAATAACCGTTATCGTAGTCCAAGACAAGGTACTAGACAACCGCCACGGCTCGGCGGTAGGTATTGATGATGGCCAAAATTCAAAAGGCATTGCTCGTATCCAAGTATGATCTCTTATCTCACAATTTTTTGTGAAGTACATATAGCAAAAAAACAATATAGATATGGCTACCGTCATGATAAAACAAAAATTGCACTGACAGTAGCGGCGTATGTTTTGAGCGTGATTGGTGCAGACTGCAGAGGACTGCCCAAATAAAGACATATTGTCTACAAGGGCGGATCCAGAACACATTTTTTTGGGGGGGGGGGGGGAGGGGCAAACATATTTTTGGTCCCCCAAAAAAGTGTGTCCAAAATATGACGGCGTTGAGTTCGGTGCTCGCTCAAGGGCCCCGAAATATTTTGTATTCTAGATGCTCTGTGTGGTGCGATCTGAGGCAATTTCTGACCACTTATAACCAATTTTGTTGATGAAAAGAGGGTGGTGTACGCACTGCCTGCCTTTATTGCGACGTCACTTAATGGCCCCCGTAGCCCCCCCCCTTCCGATCCGCCCTTGTATTGTCAGTGGGTTGAAGTCGTCAAAAATAGGTTAAAAGAAAGTAAAAATTGCTTTATAAAAATTTAAAATTCGTTTGGAGAAAACAAGTCAACTACGTTGAAGAACACATAAGAGCAAGTTGCACTACA